CATATTAGTTTTCATTTTTATTTATTTGTTTGTTTTTGTGTTTATGAAAAATATATTGATATTACCAAGTTTGCAATTGGTTTAAATGTCATGGAGGAGAATCTATGCCTCGTGGATAGTGCAACCACACATACTTATACTTAAAAATAAAAGGTATTTCTCCAATTTAACGATGGGCAAGGCTAATGTTAACACCATATCCGGTAGTGTTGATTTAATTAATGGCTCCGGAAGAGCAAATATATTACTACCTGGATGGACAAATTTGATTATAGATGATGCATTATTCTCTCCTAAGTCCCACGAAATTTATTAAGTTTTAAAGATATTTGTTTAAATGGATATCATATTGAGACAACAAATATTGAGAATATTGAGTACTTATATATTACAAAAATTAAATCGGGTAGAAAATATGTATTGGAGAAATTACTTGCTTTCTCTTCGGCATTTATTATACAAATATTCAAAGGATTGAAACAAATGCCATAGTAAACCGAAGTTTACTAATCCTTTTATTTTGTGGCATGATCGATTAGGCCATCCTGGATTCATTATGATGCGAAAAATTATTGAAAATTCGTATGGACATCCACTGAAGAACCGAGAAGATTCTTCAATCTAATGAGTTTTCATGTTCGCATGTTCTCGAGGCAAACTTATTATTAAGCCTTCACCAAATAAAATTGAGATTGACTCTCCGGCATTTTTAGAACGTATACAAGGTTATATATGTGGACCAATTCATCCACCATGTGGACCATTTAGATATTTTATGGTTTTAATAGATGCATCTACAAGATGGTCACATGTATGTTTATTATCAACTCGAAACCCGGCGTTTTCGAGGTTACTTGCTCAAATAATTCGATTACGAGCACAATTTTCAGATTATACCATTAAAACAATTCGCCTTGATAATGCTTGGTGAATTTACATCTCAAGCTTTTAATGATTATTGCATGTCTATTGGAATAAGAGTTGAACGACCTATTGCTTATATTCACACTCACAATGGTCTAGCGGAATCATTTATCAAAAGCCTCCGATTGATAGCTAGACCATTACTTGTGAAAACAAAACTTCCTGTTTATGTTTGGGGACATGCAATTTTACATGCGAGCAACACTTATTCGCATCGAGCCTATAAGTTATCGAAATTATCTCCCCTTCAATTGGTTTCGGTCATGAGCCTAATATTTCTCATTTAAGGATTTTTGGATGTGCGGTATATGTCCCAATTACTCCTCCACAAAGAACTAAAATGGATCCTCGGAAGAGATTGGGAATATATGTTGGATATGAATCTCCTTCTATAATTAAATATCTTAAACCATTAACGGGGGATGTTTTTATGGCTCGTTTTGCCGATTGTCATTTTGATGAAACAATTTTTCCAACATTAGGGGAGAAAATAAACGAGAATAAGCGATTAGAAATGTTGGAAAAAGAAATTACATGGAATACTTCATCTTTATATCATCTTGATCCCCATACAAAACAATGTGAACTTGAAGTTCAAAGGATAATTCATTTACAAAGTCTTGCAAACCAAGCGCCATATGCATTCTCCGATCTAAAGAGAGTAACTAAATCACATGTTCCTGCTGAGAATGCTCTTATTAAAATTGATGTCCCGGTAGGACAACCTATTAATGTTATAACAAATGAATCTAAAACACGCTCGAAGCGTGGAAGACCGATCGGTTCTAAAGATAAAAATCCTCGAAAGAAAAAAAGGAAAAATAATCAAGATGAAAATATAAAGGAGACGGATAAAATGGTCCAATATGTTTTTGATAACAAGCTTTCGGAAGAAGCCCAAATGCTTGAGAAAAATCAAGAAATTTCAATAAATTATGTTAACACGGGGAGAGTATGGGACCGAAAAGAAACATTCATTGATAACATCTTTGCATATAATGTGGCAATTGATATCTTGAATAAGGATCCCGAGCCTAAATCCATTGAAGAATGTCGACATAGAGATGATTGGCCTAAATGGAAAGATGCAATTCGGGAAGAATTAAAGTCTCTCACAAAACGAGCAGCTTTTGGACCCATAGTTAAAACACACGAAGATGTTAAGCCAATAGGATACAAATGGGTATTTGTGCGAAAACGAAATGAAAAAGGATGAAATTGTGAGATATAAAGCAAGACTTGTAGCGCGAGGGTTTTCACAAAGACTCGACATTGACTATGAAGAGACATATTCTCCTGTAATGGATGCAATTACATTTCGCTATCTTATTAGCTTGACGACATGTGAAAAACTTCATATGCATTTAATGGATGTAATAACGACCTATTTATATGGGTCACTTGATAATGATATCTATATGAAAGTCCCGGAAGGACTTAAAATGCACGAAGCATGTAAAATACATTCTCGAGAGATGTATTCAATTAAATTACAAAGATCTCTATATGGATTGAAACAATGCTGGACGCATGTGGTATAATCGTCTTAGTGATTATTTATTAAAAGAAGGTTATAAAAATAACTCAATTTGTCCATGTGTCTTTATAAAAAAATTCGAAAAGGGGTTTGTGATAATTGCTTGTATATGTTGACGGTTTAAATATAATTGGAACTCTCGAAGAGATTTTAAGTGCCATAAATTATTTAAAAGGAGAATTTGATATGAAAGATCTTGGAAAAACAAAATTTTATCTCGGATCGTAGTTCGAACACTTAAAAGATGAAATTTTTATTCATCGATCAACATATATAGAAAAGGTACTACAAAGATTCTATATGGATAAGGCTCATCCATTAACTAGCCCGATGGTAGTTCGTTCACTTGATGTTCAAAAGGACCCTTTTCGACCTCGAGAAGATAACGAAGAACTTCTTGGTCCTAAAGTACCATACCTTAGTGCATTGGTGCATTAATGTATCTTGCTAATAATACCCGACCCGATATAGCATTTTACGTAAATTTATTAGCAAGATATAGTTACTGCTCCAACACGGAGACATTGAAATGGAATTAAACATATATTACGTTATCTCCGAGGAACAAGTGATACGGGCTTATATTACTCTAACAAATCAACGAATGGATTAATTGGTTATGCGGATGCGGGTTATTTATCCGATCCACACAAAGCTCGATCTCAAACTGGTTATGTATTTACATATGGAGATACGGCTATATCATGGCGTTCTATGAAGCAAACTATAGGCTGCCACATCTTCAAATCATGCGAAATACTAGCAATTCATAAGGCAAGTCGAGAATGTATTTGGTTAAGATCAATGACCCATCATATTCAAGAGACATGCGGTTTATCCACTAGCAAGGAAGTTCCAACGATCTTGTATGAAGATAATATTGCTCGCATAGCTCAATTAAAGGAAGGATACATCAAAGGTGACAGAACGAAACATATATCACCAAAATTATTTTTCACACATGATCTTCAACGAAATGGTGATATTAATGTTCAACAAATTTGTTCAAGTGACAATCTAGCAGATTTGTTCACTAAGGCATTACCTACCACAATTTTTGAAAAGATGATTCACAAGATTGGAATGCGTCGTCTTAGAGATCTTAAATAATGTCTTCAACAGGGGAGACCAAAATAGGTATTAATGTGTGCAAGGAATAATGTACTCTTTTTCCTTCACTAGGATTTTTTTCCCACTGGGTTTTTTCCTAGTAAGGTTTTAACGAGGCATATTCCTTGTACAATGGACATTCGAGGGGAGTGTTATAAAATAATGAATGTCCATCTACTTTTCATATCCCCACTACTCATGATCCTTAATGTGATTCAATTCACCATTCAATTTGAGAAATTGAAAGGGTAATGCAATTGATGTACTTTTAATTATTCATAGTCCCTTCCAATTCTCATCTCAATTTTGAGGCCTATAAATAGGCTTGATTTGTTCATTTGTTGATGTATAAGTTTGTAGAGAGATTAAGAGAACAACTTGAAGTTTTCTCACTTGTATTCACTTTATAGTGAATTCTTCTTCTTGCCATCCTTCCTTTAAATTCTCATATATCTTTTATTTTTCACAACACTTATGAGTTAATGGCTCAATCGTAGACTTATCATATAAGGTAATTTTTCTAATACCTTTATATTTGTAATCGAGTTAATTTTACCTTTATATATCCGTTAAGTTTATAACTTATTATTTTGATAAAATTCTCAATAAATCATCGAATTATTTACATAATTTATTTATGATTTTTTTGAATTCTTATATTATTTTTTCTAATAAGATAAATAAAAAAATTTATGTCAAAAATTATATGATTAATTTTGATAATTTATCTTAAAAATCTCGTAATAAAAAAAATCATCATATTATATAAAAACATATAGATTAAACCATTGACTCTATATTTAGTATTCCAAGACACTTGACTGCTGAAGGTCTAGAATGTAATGAAGGCAGCATTGACCGAATATTCCTTGTCCATTTTAGCTTGTTTTGCACCACCACAAAAACCCACTACAGTAAGCATCAATAAATTATATTTGAATTTTTCATCCAATATCTCACATTTTATTTATTTCAAATCAATCTCTTCTATGTTCTGTATCCTTGTCTTTCTAGTATTTTCCACGAAAGCCAGCTTAGGAGTCATGAAAGCAACTAGTTATCCTTTTGGAATAATGACATCTTCTTGTCCAAAAGAAAATACAAACATCTTCTTGATTCATGCACACCAGGAAAAAAAAAAACATATATATATATATATATATATATAGAGAGAGAGAGAGAGGACTCGCTGTTTAGATTTTGCTGCTTTGAAGAAGAAGAAGAAGAAACAGGACCACAGCTGGGTATATATATAAGGCCGAGTTAATTATACTACAAGAAAAATGACAAATTTTACATGGTGAAAGAGAGGGACTTGATAAGGAAACAAATGGCAAGGACTACAACCTCATAGACATGAAAGTGCTCTGCCATTGGAAAAAAACTATGCATGTCTAAAGCTTTAAACTACAGCTAACATCTATATTAATTACACTGCAATTAGTGGTTGTTGAGCTTCAATCCTTATTTCTTCTTTCATTTTCCTTATAAATTCCTCAATTCTCCTGTTCAATTCTTCAGTACTTGCTAACTCTTCATCTCCTTCTCCTTCTTCTTCCTCTTGTTTCACCAAACTCCCTCCTTTTTCTTCTCTGAACTCTTCTTCTTCTGCAATCATCATATCTTGACTTGAAGTAGCCTCCTTCTCTTCTTCTTCTGCTGCTGCTGCTTGCATTTCTTTATCTTGTAGAGGCTCAAGACTTGCCACGGCAGGAACTTCTTGATCAACATGAGTAGGCTCAGCTTTCGTAGGAGACAAGTTAGGTACTGTTGATGATAACTGCCCTTCATCTTCAAGATTAGACTGATCATCAGAAGCAGAAGTACTTGAAGAAGAAACTGAACTCTTAGCAAGAATAGCAAGGATTCCATTACAAATGAGAAACATATACTTCCTCTCTAGGCAATGACTGAAAACAGAGAATCCACCAGTATTAATGTAGAAAACAAAGGGTTTTGGAACCAAAGAAAAGCCTGCCGCAGAGAAGCAAAGAAACAAAGAAAATAAAGAGACTGAGATTAGGAACTGCAAAGCCCTTCTCAAGAAATATTGGTATTGATGGTAAGTTTGATCCTCCATCTTTTTGGTTAATCTGTTCTTTGGCCAAAGATACAGAAGCTTGCTTGCTTTCTCTCTTGGAAGAGGCAGTAGTTTTAAGGGTATGTGAAAACGTGACCTTAAAATGGAGGGTTAGTGTCTTGGTTCGATAGGTACTTATGATGATTTGTTTTTGTTGAAAGAAACTGAAGGGTTTCTCTCCATTTATACCTAGCAACCCATATGTTTAGTAGATTTACAAAAATGACCTTGTGGATACCAGCAAAGGGCATAACGTGGAACTTCCTAAAACGATGAGGGTCAACAAGAGAAGAAAAAGAAAAGCCATCTGAGTCAACTTTCCCTGTTTGATAGAAAAAGTGGGTAAATTATAGTTTGAAACCTATAGATTCAGCAAAGTTCGACTTCGATTCTTATAGATTAGAATTTCTAAATATAAATATCCTAATTTTAGAAAAAGCATTTAAAATGCGTAAAAAAATAATTAACAATACTTATTTTATAGATTTTTTTTTATACCGATGCAAAAAGAGAGAGAAAAACATATTTATATCTATCAAAAATAATAAAAATATTTATTTATAAATTTAAATTTTTTTAAAAAATTCTTCTATTTCTCTATTCTTGCGTTTATATGTTTTTTTGGTTAGGTAAATATTATCAATTGCTCTTTTTGAATATAATAAAATTTATCGACTCTTGAGCACCATGTACCTAATAAAAACTTATATGCATACGAACAACCACCCAAAAAAAAAAAAAAAAACCCTTGAAAACTTTAAAAAAAAAAAAAATTTCAAAAGTGGGTTTGGCGAGCTTTTCAGAAGTTACAAAGTTTATATTAAAAAAAAAAAAAAGCTTAAAATTAAAGAACCCAAAGTGAATGTTGGTGAAGTTATAGGGACTAAAATATAGTTTATCTTAAAAAGTGCTTTAGCAGCAATCAATGTTACGAAATGCAAGATGATGAAAGAAAGCTGAAGGCGGTGGTGATTGGTGGGTGCTTCTTCGAAGCTTCTAGTGACTGTTATCCACCGCACCGCACCGCACCGCACTTACAACAGGGTAGGAACAGTAGCTTCGTGATTATCCACCATACCATTTTTATCTTTTTTTTTTCAAGTTAGTCCCTGTAATTTAAGAAACAAATTAATCAGTTTTTTAAAAAATAATAATTATTTAGTTTTTATATTTTAAAATTTTCTTGTATCTAACTCCTGTTCTTTTTCAATTTATTTTTATTTTTGGTTTCAAAAAAGAAAAAAGAAAAAAATAAGTAAAAAAATTGATGAGAAAAAATTATATTTTTTGAAATAAAGTAATATTAAATTAAATATAATTAACACTGAAAATAAATTAAATAATTAATTTTTAAACTAAGAAGATTAACTTATTTATTTATTAAAAGTAGTGGGACTAATTTATAATTTATTTGATATTCTTTCTACCATGAAAATTCATCTAGGAAAGCTGTACAAATTTGCACAATTATTTTGTGGACCCTATTCTTAAATATTTGGGGGTCCACTTATTAAATTAGTGACTCAAAAATATGTGTCTATCGTTTGTTTGTTTTTTTTTTTTTTCTTTTTTCCTCAATAGTCAACATCATGCAATTGATTTATCATAAAAAGAAGAACGTCTTGCAATATTGGATGGTGATTCGTAATTTCATTTGAATTAGGAATATGATGCAAGCTAATGTCCATAGACTTATTCAATTTCAAGTATGATGTTCGAGTCTTACTATTTTTTTTTTTTAAAAGCACGTCTATATTCATTAACTTTATTTAAAGAATTATTCTAAATTTTTATCTCGATATGAATTTGGTGGATGTCCCTCGATATATACAAATATAAAAAGATGTAATGTTTATTATCTAATTTACAAATATTGCCTCCATACCCGTTTTATGTATAAAAAAATCCATATACAACCAAGTAAATAATAAATTAGTCTTTCTATTTCTTAAAAAGGCTTAATTGGTTTTTAAAAAAAACTAATTACTTATCTTTTGATCAATATTGACTATACTTAATATAATATTATTTTATTTCCAAAAAAAATCATTTTTTTCTCATCAATCTTTCTATATTTTTATTTATTTTTTAAATAAAAATAAATTAAAAGGAAAGAAAAAATTAAATTACAAAAAAAAATAAAATATAAGACTAAATAATTAGATTTTGAAATTAAAAAAAAAAAACTAATTAATTCATTTATCTAAAGTAAAAGTGCTTGTTTATAATTACTCACACACAACCAAGGAGTCTACCAAGGCCATGATGATGTTGATCTCTTTCGTGGACTGGTTTTTGGGATTTGTATAGATTATATTACAGGGTTAGGCCCATTAAATTGACTACTTGATTAATTACATATGCAACAAAAAAAATAATAATAACAATAATGACAAAGTAACACAAGTAATTTACATACAATAAAAAAAATCATTTAATTCTGTAAGTGTAGCTAAGCCTTTTTTTCCAATTATATGCTTGGGTTACGTAATGATCAATTAATCATGTCTATTTAGGGCTAATTGCATGTATATGTATTGTTTGTCAATAATTTTCTAATCAAGCCATGACGTCGTCCATTTTTCTATTTATATATCTTCTAAATTACTTATCTGGTTAAAATTTTAAGTGATGTGTTTTACTAAAACACCTTTAATTAAAGTTTATTTTATAAAAGATTGTTCAAATATAATTCTAAAAAACCACCTTTTAATTATTGCTTTTAATTAAAGTGAATATATATATATATTTTTTAATGATATTAAGAATGATATTGAGAAAAAATAATAATCAAAAGATGGCAAATTTCAGTACTACATGATGATGTCACTTCAAAAGTAACTTTTTGGGAAAAAAAAACATTCATAAAGAAAATTTGTCCCGGATTCAAGTAATCAAACATTCTAAGTATTTGATTGATTAATAGGTTTTACTTGACATTGCACGATCAAATTCAAAGCAAAAAAAAAAAAAAAAACGGTTTTACTCAGATTTGGTATCTAATTTTTTGTTTCATTGATTTTCTATTTTTTATTTTGTTATTTAAAAATCATTCTTTCATAACGTTGTAAGTGCGTATATACCGACATGACACTTTTCTGCTAAAATAAATCTTTTATTTCTGAAATTTGTAATTAAAGAAATAAAAAAAATAAACACATAAAAATCAATGTAATTTAATTAATTAGGTTTGTTTAGGTTTTCAGTCCAAACAAGAAATTTTAAAAATAAAAAAGTTATTGGATTGTAGGTTATCAAGCATTAAACTTAATACTCTAATAGAAAAATATGATTTAAACGTATGAATTCACGATGTTATAACGAAAGATGTCTTATACAACAAAAGAAAAAAAACTTAATTAATATATATATATATATATATATATATAAAATAGATAGCTCTAGTAACAAAAAAAAAAATTAAAAATTAAAAAAAGTACAAGAACTAAATTTAGATAAGTTATCACAAAAGCATATGATACTAATTTATTCCATAGAACAACTTTTCTAGCTAGATTAAGTAATTTTACATACTCGAGCATCAAAAGCAAAGAAGAAGAAGAAGAAAGTTTATCAAAGTTTTGCTCTCCCTGATCCAAAGTTTAATTTGATCCTCAATCTTTCCCTTCATAGCAGCAGAAAGGCCACAAGAAATATCATCAAGATCTTAGGCTCGTAGTAAATCAATACTGATCAGGCCACAAGAATGCACCCATTGCAAATCCTCTCTTCTCTTCAAGGTTGCCATGGAAACTCAATCCATATTCTCTAAGAAGGGCATCCACCTTCCACTCCTCCATCTTCTCATAGTCTGCCTTTGCATAACGAGGGTAATGAAGAGGCATTTGAAACCCCGAAGAAGGATTCATCATTTCCAGCTTTGAGTTCTTGATCATGACTCCATTTCCATGCTCATTAGGGTACCCTACAACTTTGTTGCATGACTGCATGTTGTTATCTTCCTTAGGGTACCCTAAGACGTGACATGCCGAGTGAACAAGCCATCTCAAAGTTGCCATCTCTCTCTCTCTCTTTCTCTCCTTCTTTCTTTCCTCTAGGAGAGAAATATTTTTTTTTCCTTGAATTTTAAAGCAAGGTTTACAAGGATGTATCATGTCTATATATACAAAGGCTGAGCGTAAGAAAGAACAAAATTTTCCCTAATAAATGTGTGGAGCAAATTTTAGTAAATTAAGAATCCCATACGATTGTGTCTTGAATGATTGTTTATGGTGATTTGGAATGCCAACATAGGCCACTAGTTTTCTTCTTGTTGGTTATTTGTCTATTTTACTTACATGACACAACAAGCATATAATTGGAGTAAAATTATAAATTAATCCCTTTTGTTTTTAGAAATAAATTATTTAGTCCTTATATTTTTAAATTTTCTTATAACGTAATCTTTTTCGTTCTTTTTTAATTTATTTTTATTTTTTACTTTAAGAAATAGAAAAGAGAAAATAATAAGTATAAAACACGAAAAGTTTGATGAGAAAAAATAACATTTTTTTGAAATAAAGTAATATTAAATTAAACATGATCGACACTGATCAAATGATAAATAATTAGTTTTTAAAATAAGGTGGACTAATTATTTCGTTTCTCAAGACTAAAGTGACTAATTTATAATGTACTCTAAATGATTCAGTTGCGTGTTGATGATAGCATAATTAAGGTGGTTGATGTCAATGTTCAATAATTTTGTGTAACTTTATATGCAAGTTTTAGAAGACCGATCACATGGTTAATCAATTGGAGTGTGACTCGTATTTATTAAGTATGGATATAAATATAATAGGACAAAAACCATAGTCAATAATACAGTTGTGAGTTCCTGAAATTCATGTTTGTGTTTGTCTTAGTGGTTTATGCCTAAGTTTTTTTATTGTAGACCATTCTACAAGTTTCAGTTTGTTTCATTGTTAGGTTGATAGCTAATTGTAATTTTTTAATCTCTCACTAAGCATATGTTAAGTTTTTAATCTATTTAAACGATAAGATAATAATCTGCTGATAAACAAATGTCGACTTGTTAGCCATATCCACGATTCGATCCTTATGACTAGTACTTATGAAAATTTATTCTAAAAATATCTAAGATCATGTGTTAAAGAGTCTATTTTAGCCACGTTTAGAGAGAAATTAATCTCAAGATATGTGAAAATCGATCCGAGAACATCCTTACATCCGAACTTAAGAAAAAAAAAGGTTTCTAATTTATTTTTTTGGTAAAATTTTCAGACCAAACCATCGAAATAATCACACATGATTTGCATATGATTTTAATTCACGACCAAGAATGGCCGTCAAAAGTCAAAATACTAGAAAAAAGAAAAGGAGTTTATAATTTTGATTCAAAGCATTAATAATGTGAAAGATTAACCTCATTCAAAATTTTGGAATGGATCCCTATAAGTTTTTTTTTTTTGGATCATTTGGTCTTTATATTTTTAATAGAGTTAATTTTATTTTTAAATATGCATTAACTTTTTAACTTATCATTTAATAAAATTTTTATATTAAATTATCAGAATTTATCACATTATTTGCACATACTTGTTTTTTATTTTCAAAATACTTTAACAATCTAGACAAATTGAGAACTTTTATATGAAAGTTGCCTCACTAATTTTGATGATTTATTCTAAAAATCTTGTCATACGAATATATTAAAAAATTAATATATATATATATATATATTGAAAATTATTTTATTATATAAAAATAGATTAAATCACTTACTTTTTTTTATTATTAATTTATCCATGGATTTCTACAATCTCAATGGTCACGTACATCAAAATCATAATCCACCAACATTAACTAGCTCTGGGGTCCAACCTTATCCCTGCCAAGAATGAACCTCGTGGTGTGAACCAATGCCCAAAATGCTGCTAGTCAACCTGATCCTAAGCTTAATCGAGCCAGTAAATTAGGCCAGTCCAATGGGAGGGAGAGGACCTGTATTTAATTGAAGACGTTAATTAATATCAACATTTATTTTTATTTTTTTATTTGACATTATGAAATATTTCCAGACTAATTAATTTATGCATGATTAAATATCTCACTATACGCTAATTTAATCATTACAGAATCTTTCAAATGCTAAAGAATGAATGATTTACAGGTGCTCGTCATTGATTTTCTATACTATGAACCACATTGACAACAAAATTAATCTGGATAAGAAACTATCCAATCGTTAAAATTAATCTAAAAATCACGACCTCATCAATACTATATTTTTATCGTTACACTTTGAACCATGTTAAAATTACCATTTCAAGTTGATAGAATCGGATATACTGCACTCTGTTTTTTCTTTACCACTATATATATATATATATATATATATATATATATATATATGTTAAAATTACCTTGTGTTGATTGCTGTGGTTAACGATGGCAGAGAGAGTTCAAATAAATGATGAAGGGGTGGTGGATGGGTTGGGTGGAGGTGGGGATGGGGTTGGCGCCACCAGAGAGGTGGACAGTCGTGGACAGAGACAAGTCAATAAATAACGCCGCTCCTAAAAAGCCATAATTTCTTGCTTTTGAATGGTATCTCTCTGCGTGTTACTTAATGTCTTTCCCTACGTTCTTAATTATACTGATCATCTGCTTCTTTACATTACCACTGATAAGCTTCTGTCAGTATTATTAATGACTGCCTTCTCTTAATTAATAACCCTAATCATGCAGCTATATATTGCCTAATTCAAGTCTAATATTAATTAACTGCCAACTGCTTTCAGAACTTAATTAGTGTTTTTACTCTTGAAATTGCATGGAGTAGTAAATTATAAATTAATGGCTCGAGTTTTGAAATGTATTGCTTCAAAATCTAATTATTTAGTTTTTTTTATTATTTATTTTATGTTTTTATTATTTTTTATTTTAAAAATAAAAAAAGAAAAAAAATTATGAAAAGATTATGAGAAAAAAGATACTTATTGAAATAAAATAATATTAAATTAAACATAATCAAAGAATTAATTAATTTATTTTTTGAAAATAAAAGAATTAATTTATAAAGTTAATTGGTTATAAAGTCCTCTAAATTATTGGTCAAACCGAAAAAAGTCTCTAACCCCTTTCTTTTTTCTAGTTTAGGTCTATAATTTTTTTATTTTTTATTTTTGATCCACAATTAAGTTCTTTCATTCTGTAGACCAATCTCAAGCGAGATGAGAGATATGTTCAGTCATAAAAACAACATCATGTATCTAAAAACTCTAAACTTAAGACACGTGTTACTTGTTTTATGACTTTATGTATCTTTTACGTACGTTTAATGTAATATGAAATTGGTCAATATGACAAAATAACTTAATTACTTACAAAAAAAAAAATAGTTGGAGACCCAAATAAATAAAATGTTAGAAACTTTTCTCATATTGACCGATAGTTCATAAAAACTTCTTAATCAATTACTAAATTTATACTCATTGAAAATGAAAAATTGTTTTATATGTAGATGTCACTAATAATGTTGGCATAATACATTTACTAAATTAAAGTGTGATCATAGAAAACCTAAAAAGATACACGAAGGGGGAGTGAAGCATCATTTGATGTGACCCAAAGCCCACTTAATTTCCTCCTAAGTTTCATAAAGATTGTTTTTATCATAATTACACTTTTAATTATCATCATTATATAGAGGATGAAGAGCTTAGTAAATAGAGAATATCCAAATAAATTATTTGCTGATCATTAGCTCTATAACACAATGCTGACTAGCAAAAATGCACAATCATTTCACATAAAAATACTATCTCGGGCAGAAAAGGTGAGCAGAAATTGTATAATAAAAATTAGCTTTAATGGCTCCATATATCCTCACATAATACTGTGATTGTTCGATATATTTTTATATCTATCTCTATTTAAGTCAATTTTATTTTTAAAGATACGTTAATTTTTTAGTATATTATTTCGATAAGAATTTCAAACTGAATCACCGAAATTAATCAAATGATTTATACATGGCTATTTTTTATTCTCGAAATACACTTACAAACCAAACAAATAGAAGGCATTTATGTGACAAACACGTGACTAATTGTAATAGTTTAGCTTGATAAATTAGAAACTTAATTAATCTTGAAGTATAAATTTGACTTAATTAAAAATATTACAACAAATTAGAATCTTACATTATTATGTAAGAGCAAATTTACCTATTAATCATAAAAATTAATATTTCTGTATGCATGATTTTGGATTCTGTGACAAACTGATCATGTGTTATAAATTTGTTCAGCTCCCTTAGATTCACTTCCTTTCCATTCCATTCCAATATGGCTGTATATGAGTAATGCTGTGTGTCCCCTACGCACAGACAAATCATAAACTCACTCCTTGCTCGATGCTAGCTAGCTCCTTCCCTCCTACCTCTTAATTTCTTGCTTCAACTTTTGTACCAAAACCTCCTGAACCCAAGTACTCAACACTCCATTTTGTCTCGTTTTTAAGCTAACAGGTCATTCCTTCATCTTCTTTAAGGTTAATGCTAATCATGCATGCATCACCTTTAATTTCTTCTTCTGATCTTACTTTTATGGATTTTCAACTAATATATGTGTATGCCGGTTCTTATTAGTTTCAGCTAGCATATATAGAAGGAGAGATCAAAATGAGAGGTTGTGATCTGATCAAGCCAAGAAGATTTTGTGTACTCTCAGTGGCCACCATTATCAGTTCTTTGCTTGCTCTGTTCTTTGGTACCAACTTCTTCTCCCTCTTCCATCCATATACACACACATTATATATATATATATATATAATAATTTAGAGCTTGTGCATGTTATGGCAGAAAACATTAGGGAAAAGAGATTGTGAATTTTTTGGGTAGGTAGTTTTGCATTAGCGCATGAATTACAACCAGAATGCATTTCTTTTTTTTTCTTTTCAGTTTCCAGAAGATACCTGCCATGCAAATTGCGAAACTACCAATTTTATTTTTTAATATAAAATTTAATATATATTAAGTATCGAATTGATCTTTCTGTCAAGATTTTCATCCTAAACTATGTATAGGAATTAGTCGTGCGATTTATACTAAATTAGTCATACGATTTATACATAAAAGCTTTCTATTTAATTGGCTTGTAAATATATTTTGAAAATAAAAATTAATTCTATGCAAATCATTAATTAATTTCTGTGGTTTTGTTTGAAAATTATAACAAAATGAAAGATTGAAAACTTAATATCTACTCAAGAATAAAATTGAATTAATTTGGATTTTACATATATCGAAATCTCATATAATTTGAATTTTTTTTATTGAGATCCTAAATTTTTTTTTTTCAATTTAAAAATTCTACTCTTATGTTGTTGGTTTCAGACTTTAGCTAATTACAATTTATCACATAAGCACACGTGACAAGCGGTACATGTGGCAAGTTTTAGCAAATAACAACTTGTCACATCATCAATTCAATCATCTAATTTAGGCCTACTCATGACATGTGGCAAGATGTTATTGTCTATAACTTGCCACATGTGTTTGCGTGACACATTGAGATATGAAACAACAAAAAAAACTTAGGGTTTCAATAAAAAAAATTTCAAATTGTACGGGGTCTTGATACATGCAAAATCTATTAATAATACAATGACAGATTAAAGAATTATTTTATTATATAAAGATGGATTGAGGTATTTATTTTTTATATATTTTTTAAATTCACTACTACCCTTAATTTATCAATGTTTGAATGTATTTTTTTTTTCACTTTTGGTTACGTCTAGATTTTGAATAATCGTTTAAAATTTTCATGACAATGCAGTGATTGAGTTATTCCATTTGAAAGCTATCGATGAAGCTGGCTCTAAAAGACAAGTCTTTTACAAGGAAAACAGCACCAATTTTGCTAGGAAGCTACCGCAGTCACCTGGTAAATTGTCTCCTCTTATGCGTCCCAATCCTTATTTTCTACTCTGCAATTTTTATTGCTGTTCTGTTCTAATCCAAGGAGCTAGACCGTTCATCATCTTTTTATTGGGATATTCTGAGCACATTTGTGAAATTTTATTTTATTGATAAAAAAGTATAAATCTGGCTCAATACGGCCTTTACTAGCCTACTACTAATTGCAAGGGGCTAAATTGTAAAATACTTCTATGAATTTGAGCAAAAAAAAACCAATACCCACTAAACTCAAAAATTCCTGATTTTGTCCTCTGAACAATATAATTTTTTGAAATTGTTCCTTTTATTAGGATTTTTAAAAATCAACTCTTTTCTATGTTAATAAATATGTTTTTTAAGTTGTGATAGAAAATGATGAGAATTAGGAGAATTTTTATATTGTTCTTTCGTCAATTTCTCAATGAAATTCTAACGAAAGGAGCACATTCAAGAAATTATATTGTTTAGTGAGTAAAAATAGAAATTTTTAGTTCATAGAAAAGTTTTTTTTTTTTTTTTTTTTTTTTGAGAAAACTATATTGGTTTTTTTCATTTGAGTATATTAACTTTTTGAAAATATCAATTAAGTTTTTTCATAAATTTTCTCGTTTATTAATAATGTGTCGCTTAACTCGAGACCAAATGACTATATATGTTGTCATTTTTTTCTCCTCTCAAATTATTATTATTATTATTATTTAACTATTTATTAAAATTTAGGGGTAAGCTAACATTACTTAGGTGAAAATCTAACAAGTCAAGGATAAATTAGTTTAAAATCTAGGGGTAAATTGTCTATTAATTTTATTTTTTTTTAAGAGTCAGCACTTCCCAAAGCACGGTCTCAAATGTTTGAGAAATAATTCTCAAGAGTACTGATTATAAAAATCGAACTCTAAACTTAAATTACAAATCAATACTTTTTTAATATTAAAGGTCAACCAATTTGTGATTAGAATAGTTTTCTCAAAAGAAAAGAAATCAATGGTTTCAAGTCCCCAACTTGGCTCAGGCTTGAGGCCTCTCAAATAAATGGTGTCTTTAGACAGGGCAGGCTTTTCATGCAAGCCCAGTATCCTTCCAAAGCCTTCACAGTTAAAATTTGACCTATTATGTGCCATTATTGAGCTAATCAGTACTCCCATCTTGATGAACTTGACAAAAATGAAGTGACAGATCTCTTGCAATTTGTGATCTTAAACAGACGAAGGAGATAGGAACCGTATAGGCACATCTTGTTCAAAGGATGACATTGCTATATTTCAAGGCTCAACAGCCCCACTTCCAAATGGCATACCATCATACACAGTTCAAATACTCAATGTGTGTGTCTCTGGTTGTAGCATATCCAACATTCATGTGAGCTGTGGATGGTTCAGCTCAGCCAGAATGGTAAACCCTACCGTTTTCCGACGAATCTATTACGACGATTGCCTTGTTAATGATGGAGAACCTCTTGGCCCTGGAGAAACCCTCTCCTTCCAGTATGCTAACAGTTTTCGGTACCCATTATCGGTCTCTTCTGTTGCTTGTTGCTAAATCAATGTGTGGAGTGTGGACTAAGTTACTTATGTTGTTTCCCATATGGTCCTATAACGTATTAATTTAGCCTTCTCGTCCGTATAATTACAATACATGATAGTGATGATAGAAGCAAGAGAAGGAAACAGGGGTAATGCTATGATCTTTTGTAAAGGATAATGTTCCTCTGTAAGGTCATTGAAAAGAGTTGGGTGTGTTCAGTGATTTCCGAACCTGATGTTAATGGCACCAATAATTTTATTAGGGTTAATGACTCAATTTGTTCTTATATAATAAGTAATTCTCTGTTATACCTTTATATTTCTAACCGAATCAATTCTATCTTTTAATATATATTAAGCGTTTAATCCATTTTTCTGCAAGATTTCAAGCTAAACTATAGATAATTAGTCGCACAATTTGTGTATAAATTTTTTTTATTTGACTGAATGCAAGAATATTTTAAAAATAAAAATTAATCATGTAGAAATTACGTGAATAATTTTGATAATTTGACTTGAAAATCTTAATATAATCTTTCACGAAGGATAATGTTCTTCTCTAATGTCATGTGTTTTGTCATGATAAAACAATATTAAAGGTGTGTTCCGTTATATGATTATCCAAAACATTTGATGATTTTTCAATAAAAAAACACCTCAAAAACATCAATTTGATGATTTTTCAATCCAAACGTTTCAAATCACACTTGAAATCCAATACCAAATGGATTCTAAATCATGGTTTCACTTTGTAGATTGCTTCAACCAATGGCAGTGACTGCTATGATGGTGTTTGCACTTGAAAATTAAGAGCATTTTCAAGGCAACCAAAGGCTATAGCACTGCTTGAGAAGATAAGGTGAAAATTTGCAATATGAAAATGAAATTGTCGACTATTTGCTCATGATCTTAACTCTTCATAACTCATAAAGTCAGAAAGATTTTCTCATCTTCATATAGTTTAACAGAAAGGAAAATCTGACAATCTAATACGAATAATCATAGCTAAATTCAGAGATACCAAGCATGACAGTAAGCACTTGAGAAAGAACATAGAAACTGCCCGCAAAGATAACCAGAATGAGTACTGCAGTAATGGGGTTCTTCAGCAATTCTACTATTGGCTGGAAGACTGTGTAAAGAGCACCTGTGCTTACTGTTATTGCATAGAGTCCATATCTCCTCATATTTTCCCAAAACTCTTCCATTAGTGGCCCTTCAGGACCTAAAGCCAACGCCTTCTGATCATCCATAGCCATCAGAAACCACACGAATCCTACAGACACAGCTCCCAGAACAAGAAACCTCGAGTGCCCATTTTCTGAGAGTTCTTGTTTTGTAGGTTTGACTTGATCAAGCAATACTGGCTTGTCTGCGGGCTTGGTTGTAGCAGAATTTCTTGCAGGACATGCTATGCTTTTTCTTGGGATAATTCTTGTTTTTGCCAGGATAATGGATGAATATGTGGGATGCTTTAGGTTTGATGTGGCTTTGATGGGAGAATCTGAAGTTGGGTGGATGAGATTATTGCATCCTAGGAGATGAAATTGCGATCTAAAGGTCTTCATTTTCTTGATTTTTTTTTCTTCAACTTTAGACCTTACTGCTATGCAGCCATGGGAGTCAGAGCTCTTAAGAATTCTTCAGTGTGTGGCTGTATTTATTTATTAATTCAACACCTTATCTCCAACAATATCTTCTGCCTAGGAAGCTGGGGATCAAATTCAATGTGATGGTAACATTTTTGGAGTAAGGTATACATTACTCCTTATATTTTTTCAAATCAATTGAATGGTCCCTCTAGTTTTAAAATCTATTTACAACCAAATCCTTTTCATTTATTTTCAATTTTTTTAAAGAAATATAAAAATAAAAAAATTTGAAAATTTTAACGAGAAAATAAGATACTTTTTGATATAAAAAAAATTGTAAATTAACTATGATCAACATTGATTGAAGGACTCATTAGTTATGTTTGAAATAAAAGAGATTATTTAATTTATTTTATAACATTAAAGGGACTAATTTATAATTTACTCACTTTTTCCATTAGAGCACCGATCATGTGTTTGCCAATTACGGAAAGGGACCCATCATGCCATTAAGGTCTCAACAAATGCCAACCACGTTGAAGAGAAAGTTATAAATTAGTCCTTATAGTTTTAAAAAACTAATTAATTAGTTATTTTATTTTAAACACTAATTATTTAGTTCTTGTATTTTAAAATGTTTTTATAACTTAATTTTGTTCATTTTATTTTAAAAAAATAGAAAGAGAAAAAAATAAGTAGAAAAGATGGAGATTGATGATTTTGGAATAAAATAATATTTTAATTAAACATGATCAACATTGATAAAATAACTAAATATTTAGTTTTTAAAACAAAAATAATTCATTCATTCATTTCTTAAAACTAAAGGGACTAATTTATAATTTATTCTCATATTAAGTTATCTTTCAATTTCTAAGGTCTAAAAATTTGCTAAATGTTTCTTCAAGGAAAAGCAAAAAATTGATAGAAAGAAAATGAAGGGTCCTTCTAAAATCACCAAAATCTGAATTCATACTCCAACTTCTAAGGTCTAAAATACTTTTTTATAAAAACAAAGAAGAGTTAATTATTATTCTATTCCTGTGATTTAGTAAAATAATTAGCCAATCCTTTTGGTTTTTTTAAAAATCCAATATCTAGTCCTTATATTTTCATATTTTTTTAATTTAATCCTTCTGTTATTTGTTCATTACAATTTAAGTGTTTTTTCTCTTTAAAATATCCTTAATTTCTAATCAAATTTTACAATTTCACCTATTATAGAAAAAATTAAAAATTTATTTAAGAAGAGTAATTTAGAAATTTTTAAAGAAATTAACAGTCAACTTTGCCTGAGGAATTCATTTATGATTTTCATACCAGAAGTACTAAATTATACAAATATTACAAGAACAGAGACTAAATTATAATTTACTTGGAAAAAAAAAACATTTGGGGACATACTAGGGTTTCAAGAAAAGGTATTGACTTTTTTTTTTTTTTTTTTCTTTTTCCAATAACAACAACACAACAAACTTATCTGCTTAAAACAAGATTTCTCTTCTTTTGTTGTCATCATAAACCTTGTTTTTATCTTTTTTGGTTTTTCAATTTTTGGTTGCACTCCCAAGTCTCAACAATTAAGCCATTTACCCTCTCCTTTCTGTCTTCGCATAGCAATCTTGAAGTCATCAGCCCCTATTTGTGGCTTCTTTGCTGCCTCATTGATGCCCCTGAACCTAAGCTCTTTGTAGCCTCTAAAGCTGAGGCAGACCCTCTTTGTTTTTTGACCTGGGTTTAGGGTTTAAAACCCAAATCTTCTCTTTTTAGTCCCTTTTAGGCTGTTTTGCTTGCAACCCAGTTGCCGGCTGTTGTTCGTTTGCTTGATAGACAGGATAGTTTGGATAAAGTTTGTCTTTGGGGAGATTTTCAGACAAAGGTGAGTTTTTTTCTCAAATGGGTGTTTATGTTTATTTTATTTAACTGTTTTTTTTTAAGTTTTGGGCGCCCATTAGGGTTTTATGAACCGGGTGTGTTTAGTTAGTATCAAAGATTTATTGCTTGAGTTGGAGAGTTTCAGGTGAAAATGTTGACAGAAACCATAAAGTTGAGATTTTGAGCTCTTTTGGGGGCTATTCATCATCAGTATGTCTGCAAATAATGATGCTTTTGTGGCTTGGGAAGAGCACATTATATGCCATGAACGTGGTAGCCGTGTGGTTCACTATCACTTGAAGGATTCATTTGGGGATTTAGTTCTTGCTGTTATAGGGACTGAGAGGAGTATAAGGCACATGACATATGTAGTTTCCGATGAGTTCTTGGAAGCCTATGGGTCCAACGAGTCCATCAATGCGTCTACAAAATGGAGAGCCCGACGAGAAGTTGTGGACTGGTTGACATCAATGGTGTCAAATGAAGGATCCCCTCTACATGTTTCAAGTACGTACTTTGTGTTACTGGTTATTGGTCTTAATTTCGTAGGTTTATATGGAATGATATGGAGGAATTGCAGTTCTTTTTTTGTAATTGTATTTGTAATCACCGTAAAAGCATTGCCTCGCTAATCTAGTTTTGAGGGTGGAACTTTAGGAATAAACTGCATGCGATATTCTGCTTTACAAATGATACCGATTTATGATTTGAATTTGATCTGAACATCTGTTGTTAAGTCATTGGATCATGTCCTTGCCGTATTTATGTTTTGTTGGAGTTGGTCAAGCATTGCCATTTTTGGAGATTTAAATGCATATTGCAACTCAATTTCTTAAGGTGGAAAACTAATTATGCCGAAATATCTGTCAGGCATTTGGACACTGTGATGTAAACCAGTTTTGCATTTTATACCCTACTGTTGCACACGAAACATGTGCTTAGTTTATCTATTGGTATAGTCAATATTTTAGGCCATAAATGACCTTGCACTGCCATTAAATCAGGGTGGATATCATGCTTTTCTCTTAATCGCTCATCCAAAATATTTTCTTCTGGATTGTGTTGCACACGTTCTTAGACATTTAACCCTATGTGCGCGTGAACACACTCGCACTGACAAAATACAAAATAGCACGATTTGTCATGAAGCCAATGGCTTGCTCTCATTAAAAAGCAGCACTCCACTACTGTAGCAAATGGTTTGTAAGCAATAGGAGGACTTGTGGAATCTGAACCATTGGATTTAAATTAGCTCTTCTATGAAACTTAGATTGTCAGCACTCTACTGCCAGTCTTATGAATTTAACATATTTTGGTGTGACAAGAAAACGGGCATCTTATCACCTTTCTGTTATGGAAACCCAATTACAACAGAGCATCTTTCCAAATACGCAGAGGTTGGCTTTCACGTGCCTTCATGTGTTGCATTCATAATCTCTTTTTATAATCCCATTCTCCATCACATTAGGCATCTTTTTCTTTTTCTTTCTCCTCCATCCATCTGGACTGATTTCACATAAGGTTGAATTCAAAAACTAATGGCAGGCTTCTCAGGTGAAATTATGGTTTTATACTTCAGAAGTATTCAAGAGAACCTGTTTTAAGTGTTTTTTTTTTTTTTTTTGCCTTGTAACTGTGTTTTTCTGACTGAATGTGCATATGCATCCTAGAGTTACTGATGAGATATTATAAAAAAAATCAGATGCCTGAATTATGGGTTTGAGTGTGCAATTCTGTGTTGCTTCATCTAGTAATTACGTATGCATGAAATGGGTAAAGACAAATATTTGGAAATCACATACGGAAAGGGAGCCTCTCACACGCGATATATGATATGTGTATTATTATGCTGTTTCTTTCTAGATTGGAGGATATCATACTTTGGTCCTCGAGTTTGCTTGACCCATGCCTGTCTTTTGATCACTAGCTTTGATGTCCAAAGCACTACCTACCGTTCTCAGTTTTAAGCTCTCCATCTATTTATGGTCCTCTTTGGTACATTTTCTTGCATATATCTAATTCTTTTAATTTTTGCCAAAGGGCTCGAAGAGTTTAATAAACTTTATTTGCAGTGGTGTTCACTTTCATCTGTATTGGAAATTTATGAGAATACTAAATTCTCTTATTGCAGATGCACAAATTAATGGCTCAGCTCAAGGTTCAGGATCTTTTGGAGCTTCAGTGACTGGATTTAATGCTTCTAAAACCTATTTGCCTGTTCGGATGGTATCCACATACTCTAGTTGTTATGTATACTTTCTAGATTTCTTAATACTCTATGTGGTCATTGACTCTGTCGCTTCAAATTCAGGCTCGAAGCAAATTGAAAGTTCAGAATTCACACATTAAGTGGTCTGGTGTGGCATGGATATGTGCTAAAGAACTCAAGCACTACCCAGCCTTTTTCAGGAGTGGGACTACCATAACTGTAAGTGTTAACACGTTGGCTAGTTATTTCTTTTTCTAGTTGCAAACTTGCCTTTGTTGAGTGGTTTTACTTTTCTTCATTCTTTTACACATCCTCATTAATCGCTATTATTACTGGTAACATTTTGAAAAAAACTTGATGGTTAGGTTCATTCCTTTGTATTTATAATGGCTGAAGAAAAAAGCCGCTACCTTGGATACCTGGAAGATATGTATGAAGACAAGAAGGGGCAGAAAAAGGTAAAGGTGCGCTGGTTTCACCACAACCAGGAAGTTAAGGGTGTAATTCCTCAACTGAATCCGCACCCTCAAGAAGTTTTTATCACACCTAATGTTCAAGTGATCAGTGCAGAGTATATTGACTGCCCAGCAACAGTCTTGACGCCCAGGCATTATGAGAAATGTATGGTTGTTGTTCCACATACATCAACATCTGGTGTCCACATGTGCTTTAGGCAATTTAAAAACAACAAGATCAAGCCATTTGCTCTTACTAAATTGCAAGGATACTCTAATCAAGCAATCCTCTCTACTTTGGATAAATCTATTGTCCCTAAACAAGAGGTTAGGTACCTTAATCTGTACAAGGAAGACGAGGAAGAACTGACCCATGATAATGCTACCAGAGTGGGTAGCAAGAGAAATAGAACTTCCAAGGAGCAAGACAGAGTTGAGAGTGGATCAGGTCTCAGAAATCGGGCCTGTGGAAACCAGATAGCAAAAGGTAAATCAGGATACCCGAAACTGAAGCTACGGTTATCGAAGAAAACCATGGGCATTGAGTTTGTTATACCCCAGTCCAATTGTCCTGCTCCTTTCAAAGTGAATGAAAGGATAGAACTGCTCTGCCAAGATAGTGGGATTCGAGGCTGCTGGTTTAGATGTAAGGTCTTGCAGGCCTCTCATAAGCGTCTGAAAGTTCAATATGAAGATGTCCAGGATGTGGAGGTATCTAGAAATCTTGAGGTATGCAAATTTTCCTGGATCTCTTATTTAATACTCATGGAAAGTAAATTTTGGTAGCAGCTGTAGCAAACATTTGGTAGGATCATCACATTGCCTAATGCTACACCTCTTCCTCTAATGAAGAGGTTGTATGTTCGAAATTTGAATCCCCTCCCCAAATTATCAGAACTTTCTAATTAGGCCCCTGCCTCAGAGTGATTCAAAAAAAAAAAAAACTTTTGATTCCTTGGTATTACCTTATTGGGGTGCATTACTTGGTCATAAAAATAATTTGGTGACTCCAATGTGGACATATGCATGTGTAACATTTCTCAATCTCTTTGAAGCTAACCTTTAATGTAATTAATTTTTAGAATTTTTATTGTGTCATAGGAATGGGTCCCTGCTTCCAGAGTGGCTGCTCCTGATAAACTTGGCATGAGATGTTTAGGTCGCCAGACAATCCGGCCACATCCTCAAAATCAATCTACTGACTATATTTTTGAAGTTGGAGCACCAGTTGATGCATGGTGGGGTGATGGATGGTGGGAAGGTGTTGTAGTGGGAGTTGACGTCTTTGGGAGTGATTGTCTGCAAGTTTACCTCCCTGGTATGCAGTAATATGGCAATATTAGATGTATTTCTTTCTTCTTCTTTTTTACACATTCATCATCTGGCATGAGATGCACCCACTCATGTGTTTGCAGTTCTATTCTAATTATGTTTGTTAATAACCATGGTTAATGATGTTATTAGGTGAAGGGAAGTTCCTGACTGTCCCAATGAAGAATGTGAGGAGTTCCAGAGATTGGGTCGATGACAAATGGGTTGATTTAATGGCAAAGCCTGATATACTCCGCTGTCTATCTGCAGATGCCATTTCTAGCATCAAACTTGAGGAACCAGGGTGTGATAGTGCTGCGTATCTGGAGCACAAAGTTGTCAAAACTTCCAGACTTGAAGCTATTGAAGAAGATGAACCTTTACTTGGTTCAGTTGTGTCTGATGACCTCAAAAATGTAAAGGAGGTCCTTTTGAGACAGAGGCTTGATGTAAATGAGAAGGATGAACTAAAAATACATGGAGGTGTTGATAATGACGGTGTTGGTGGTGATCCTGATGCTGAGGAGAAAGCGAACAATGTTGCTGCTGCTGCTGATGTTGACGATGGCTGTGAAGGCAAAACTGGTAATAACAGTGAGTTGCTTTTGGAGAAAGATCTGAAATCTCTTAACGAGATAAGTGAAGCAGCAAAAGCTTTAGAAATGATCACAAGTTGCATGAATAGTTGACATAGCTAGAGTGAAGTTTTAACTCTGAAGGTGGTTAGATGGCTTCCTGTATATAAAGATAGAGGAATGGTTGTCACAGCTACATGAATCAGATGACCAGCAAGTTTTCTCTTAACTTCTAGAGAATTGGCAGGTGTATAGTAATATGAGTACCAACTTTTACTGAAACCAACTTAGTGTCAGAGGACGGGGTTTAGAAGCTTGATGGATCAAGTCAAGCTAGAGAGTAGCTCAGTTTGATCAGAGAATAGTTTTGTCTGTCTCAGTTCAATCTTAGGATCGTTAGTGTGTCAGTTTGCGCCAGGCAGCGAATGCTGGTGACGTATCTGCAACTTGAGAATTGCTCGTGTTGTGTAGGATTATTTTACAGTATGTTTCTGCAACTTGGGGAACTGCATTTCGGTCGTATAGGCTTATATTTTACAGTATAGTTTTTAAGGTTTAGCTGTAAAGGTTACAAGGTTGTTTTTGTTTGGAAAAAGAAATAGAAATGTCATGGTAGCTGTTATTTCACCTGCCCTCTTCATTTGTTTTTGTTTGGGCAGTTGCTTCCTTTATTTTGATTGTTATTCTCAAAATTCCTTTCCTGCTTTTCTTCTGAAAACCTTTCTTGTCCAATCATACTCACAAGTCTTTGTTGAAGGAGAGGATGGCTCTCCAACACTGCTTGGACGGGCCTAGTTGAATCCACCATAACCTACTGAAGGAAAACCGAACAAGATATAACAAAACATTATGCTTCATATGATTAAGTTTCTGCTTGCAGGATCATTGGTTGATAATTCTTTTTATTTCAGATAATTATTTTGAAATTTATTTATTTTTATTATTGTTAATTGTTAACATAAAAGAAACAATTCCATAAAAATAATCAGTTTCATGAATTATTTTCGTAGAAAACGTAAGGAAATAAAAATTGCTGTAGACCACCTAGTGTTATCGGTTAATAAAGTCGGTGAAAGATCAAGAAGATAAAGATATAAAAGAATAAAAATAATTAAAAGATAATTTTAAGTCTAATGACAGTGTTTGGTAATTGACTGCCTTAATTTTTTTCCCTCAAAAAAAATAAAATTGATGTTCTGATTAGAAGTACGAGAGGTGATGTAGTTTGATTCAAAAGTACAGGGACTTTCTTATACAAAGTGTGATGTGTTTTGCTCTTAAAGACACCTGGTTTAAGCAAGCCATGGCATTCAAATCTAAGTGGGATCTTTACCAATTATTGAAGGGGAAATCAATATTTTTATGCAATTTATAGAGGAAGTAAGCAAATGACTATCATGTAATTAAGCAAGGAGGGGGTACGGTTTGCCTCTAGAATGGAATGTAATTCCACGAACTGATACACTATTCCATATGGTACATGTTCACTGGAGAACTTGATGCAAGTATAGAAAGGCCAAGGAAAATCACAGTTTTATTTCTTTAAAGGAAAATGAACACAACAAAACTAAAGAAAATTGAGGACAAACATTAAATAGCATCAAGGTTGAGCAATCCCCTTCTTCACAAGCATATCATACACCCTATCGACTTTGCTTGCTTCAATCTTGAACAAGGGGTAAGCATCTGATTTCTTAGCGATGTTGCCGCTGAAGATCTCTTTGGTCATAACTTCCTGCATCTTAAGGTAGACGGGAGGAGGGAGGTGAGTCTCGCAACAAAGCCGTTTTTCCTGCCAACACATTAATTTAGCAACATCAATGGCAATCCAAAAGACATTATACTTTGGAATTCACAATGAAGCTTGAGGGGCAGCGTGTGACATAATCGGAAAAATCTTTTACCAATTAACTATGGAATGATGAATGGTCAACAATAAGATGTCTGTTGTTGGAGTACGACAAAGAACCAGAACAGACATTGTTTACAAATGTTGATGAAAAAAAGCTACAAACCACAGATTTGATACTTACAGTTTCAGATAGTAGCTGCGTTTCATGAAATCCTGTTATGTCCAAATCATTGGGATAGCTAGAAGAGCCCGGTCCTGCAGGTCTCGTACTTGAATCCTTGCCAGCAGATTCTGAAGGCATAAATGCATTGGGAGCACCCTGATTGCTAGGACCAACCTGAGCACTGTCTTTCAGTCTCCTGGAATTTTCCTCAGCTTCTTTTTTCCTCTTCTGCTCGAGGTACCTGTCTGCCTCAGCTGATGTGCGGCAACCAGCTGCTTGGGCTTCCTGCATGGTGACAGCCACATGAGATACAATTAAGCATATCAATCATTCTCATGCAGAAATGCATGTTCTGCACATTTTAAAAATATGTTTGGAGTATTAGGTGTGAGTGGCAATTTTTCTGTTCAATCGGTGTCTGCCAAATCCTGTTTATACAGGACATAACAGCCAATATAATTTATTTCAAGAGATTAAGGGAATCAAGTAATTATGAAGGTGCAATTTCAGCACAAGTCATATACCTTCAGCTCTTCGATCCTTTTTAGCGTCCGGTGCTCCTCGATAACAACCTGAAGCAATTCCTCATGCTCTTCCTTGGAATGAAAACGCATGAAAGGGTCATAACGCCGACATAATGCCCTCTCTTCTGGAGTCAAGCCCCTTTCAAAAGGACTTGGTTCCAGCAGATTTCTTTCTAGTATGAAATCTTTTCTGTGCTTTCTCTCATCAAGTCTGTCAATATTCAGCCAGGTTGTAAATTGTAAGATCGAATTTAACAGAATCACAGATACATTTGGTATAAGCCAGTAACTTGGTAGTAATCTTCAACATTCAAAACAAAAATTCAGCATTAAAATTGAAGGTTTCTAGTAGAAAATAACACAGATTACACAAATAAATAAGGTCAAATATGTCTGCTCTGTGATTTCATTTCCATTCCCCTTTAGTTTATGCACATCTTTACCTTTATGCCAATATTTATAGCTCCCTCATCCTCCCTTGTGAACAAGCATAATGTAGTAAAGTTAGTTCAGACTAGAAACATGCATAGTCAGTTCGTTGACTACCTACCGCTTTGAATATATACGCAGCACTCGCAACTTCAGCTCCCGCTCTTCTTCGGTGTCAGTATCTTTAAATTCCATCTCAGCTAGCAACTGCTCAGCATCATTATCATATTCAGGATCAAACTCCTGCCTCTTGTGGTTATAACCACTCAACTCCATCAAAGATGGACCCTCACTCTCAGAGGAATTTGGTTTCTTCCCTGTAGCATTTCGGCCCACCAGAGGATCTGCCACCAGAACAAACCTCATGACTAACTGCTCCTCCACAAAATTTTTCAAACATGAAGTAAACAGACAATATTATAGTCCTACAAACTAGAAACAGGGAAACAACAAATTTCAATGGGCAACAACATTCAAATCTCATCAATTACAATTATATCAGATGACAGAGATTATAATCCACAGCTATCAAGCATCTAAAGGACAATGACAATAGCAACAACTATCACCTACTAAAAGCAATTTGGATAGGAAAAGTCATGTATCAAACCTTCCACTTTAACAACACTGGGTCCATCTTTAACCCGGGCCATGCTTGATGCCTTCTTATTAGCAGCTGCTGCTGCAGGATTTGTGCTATTAGGACGGCCTGCAGATTCTACCTCTGAAGGTCCAAAAAACAAGGATCAATTGCACCAATGAGATTATTTCAATTTGTCTTCATAAAACATCTAGCCGTTTGAGACTATTATTTAAACTCACCAGAATTTAAAGTAGATAATCTGCCAGAGGAACCTCCTTTATGCATTTCTTCGACTCTAAGTTAATCAAGAAAATTGGCATAAGCATGTTTAATAGCTGATCAGATATAATGTATTGAGAGAGAAGAATGGTAACCGTACTTGACTCTTGAAGGAGAAAACGGAGATTCTTCCTTCAAAGTAAGCTCCCCAAGCATAGCAGCACCTATAAATCATATATAATTTGTAATTAAAATTACTTTTCAGAAAGGCATAGCGCAAGAATGAGTATAACAACAATAAGTACATAAAATGACCATGAATGGCCTGTTCACCACTGAAGTACGTTTAGCTTCCTAATTCAGCAGAAAAGCTATTGCTTTTATTCTAGAAACAAAAACTTGAAACTAAGGCACACTAGAGCACCCTGCATAATTTATAACAGAAACCACAATTAAAGGAAAAATTCTAACCGGTACGGTGGGTCACTCTGGCAGCCTCTCGGTCACCAAGGACAAAACTAAAGTAGCGTTCCACGAAGGAAGCAGAAAAAAAAATGATAATAAATGTAGGGAGAGATATAATGGTAAGCACTAACACAAACCTTTTTTGTCCTCACTAAGTCCCTTGGCCATAGCAAGAAGCTCCTTTCTATTTTTCCCAACAACATGAGACATGTCCTGGAAAGAAGAAAAATGTTCAAGTTTACTTACTTTGGTAAATAAGAAACAGCTTAAAAAGAGGAGCTTTTTTATATCATACCGGGAGAGGGAAGAACTGGGATTGCATGTATACACTATTATAGTGTTCAATACATGTTTCTTTATTTTTTGTTCCCACATGCTCAGCAACTTCCGCCCAGTTCCCCATTCCATACATTTCAATTCCCTAAAGAACAACAAAATTTCAGAATTACCTTGCAGTGAACACGAAAATTTCAAACTAAACAAATAAAAGAAACTCTCTAAGAAATTGGAAAGAAGAAAGTTAAACTCAAAACACCTCTAGAAGCAGTATTTCTTCATCTGCATTCCAGTCAGTGCAAATAAGTGGGAAAGATAGATTATCCTATAGAAATGAAAACGCATAAAACACATTTTGTCAGCATTCTAATGTTATTGGTTGATGCCCATGTAGGAATTGAGACCTATAGGTATTCCAACTACTTAAACCATGAAGAAACGAATGCAATAAAGAAGCGAACGTTTGGTAACATGAAAAAGAACAGTTCAAAGTATAATACAGTTATAAAGTACTAAATAGAGATGCAACAGGAAAGCCAATATTTCCTACATATTTCATCAAGCAAACCAGTACAGTTCCATGCTGATACAGGGACAAGCTCAATGCCGTAGAATAATATGCAAAATAACAAGTTAGCAAGTTGTTAGAAGGAGAAGCACTGACCATAACCCTGTAAGGGTGATTGCTTTTATGAGGTGTAACCTCAGCTCCTACAGAGAAGCACTCTAAGCATAAGTCAAAATCAGGGCACCAGGCACATTTAATACGGGTCTTCCCCGTTATGTCTTTATTGCAATAATTGCAATGGTATAGTGCCCTTTTCCCATCACCACTTCCTTGGCCTGAGCACATTAAAAACCAAAGAAGAAAATGAAGACAAAGGTCATAAAGATGTGCAGGCAAACAAAATCAATCACCCTTAGAATGCATAGAGATCATATGTATTATAATACTCTGAAGAACAAAGAATATGAGAAATAACAGCAGCATCAATTGTTTTGACATCTTTGAAATATTATTCAGTACCACCTTAACCATCTAGAACTCTCCACCAGTTACAGTTTTTAAACCCCCTAATAGATAACAACTACAAGACACTCTCAAAGATTTCACTGTTCAGAATAGGACTACAACTCTTCTTGTCTATGCTAGTAACTACTCATTTAGTAATTAATGCTTTAGATGAAACAATTCGGTAACTTGATCTTCTATTATTTTGTGCTGCAGGTAATCATGAACAATTTGCTGTCAAAGTTCAAATCTCAAAAAAATAAATAAATAAATAAACTTTTTATTTCCACCAAGGACGGAGAAGTACCAGTTGTTGAAGATTCTGAATTATCTCCACTTGCAGAATTCTTTTTCCTTCTTGATCTGCAATGCCAACAACGAAATCCTGGTTATACTCCATTCAAATAGCCAAATTTGATAGTCAGAAAACACATAAACAAAAATAATCAGAAACCATCTACATTAATTACGTTCAATTATGCATAAACACATTATACATAACGAAATCCTATCAAATGACACTAACATTTCAAATTCATTTCCATCTAACATTACAAAACACACAAACAAGAAAAACCAACAAAAACAGCAAACAAAACAAGCTAAAAACTGAATCAAAAACCATGAAAGCATACAACTTCCAAAACATCAAACCTCAGAGTAGGGTCTTCATCAGTAGAGTGAAAATTGCCGCGAGAACGACCCATTTCTCTTTGTAACTGAGTAAACCCACGAGTACCTGTATATGTATTGGTATATAACACGAATGAAGAAGACTAACCAAAAACCTGGTATTTATAGACCCACATAAACCCTTACAGTGGACACCTCAAAAAAGGGTTGACATCCAAAATTGGCAATGAAAATCAAGCATCTAATGATATTTTACAGAATGGGAAATAATGGATTAGCATCAAAATTGAGATAACACATATGGGTTGGTGTCAAAATCTGAAGTTTTTGAGATATTTTGCATCTTTCTTCAGGATTTTGGATAGAGATTGTTCTGATGATGACTTTAAAATTGTGGGCTTTTTATATATTTGGTAAAATCTGGATTGCCCTTGCCATCTATGTAAGAAAAACAGCTTAGAATAATCTGTGAGCGTTGAGAGTGGTCGGTCGAGTTTAAGTTTTGTGATTTTATTGCTATGTATTTGCAGAACTGGCAGCTCAGACCAGTCTGTTTGTTTTGCGAGAAAATTGTTGCCAGTCAAGAGTGAGTTTGTGGTTTTTTTCACACATTTACCATGGTGAATTGTGGGAAAATTATATTCTAGTCCCTGTAAATTTGTGATGTTTCGTTTTGATTTCTATAGTAAGATTAACTTCACATTCACATTAGAACGTATGATTATGAGTTTGGAAAGTCCTAAACCCTCGATATAATATATCTATATAATCATTATCTATTGTTATTCTCGATCAAATTGGATCAAAAATTTTATTCAACCATCAAACAATTGATTCCATCCGATTTTTTTTTTTTAAGAAAAAATCACTATTAGAATTGCATAATTTCATATCTTAAAAGTTGTATGTATAATGAAACAAATTTTTTTAAAAAAAATTAAGAATACAAGATTAGTTGAACATCTCATCTGATCTTGATAAAATCAAATTTATGATGTTTGTATTTAATAGATCTGGTGAAATTATCATCAATATCGATAAGAAATTACAGGGTTAATATTAGTCGATTTTAATGTATAAGGATCAGATTACAATATTTCTAAATCTACAGGGGCTACAACTTTAGTTTATCAGTAAATTATGATGGAGCAGTACCTTAGATCTGGAGTAAACGTTGTAGGCTTTTGGCCCATGAAAATAAGCCTTGTTTTATGTGTATATAAGCCTGAGAACAAGCCCATCAAGAGAAGAAGAAAGTAATTTTTTTTTTTTTTATCTTTTCACATATTTATTTCTCTCTCGTTTGTAAAGGAAGGAAAATTTGGATTCCCTTTCTGTAAAAATAATGTCTGCGGTTCAATATATATATATATATATATAACCTAAATCCTAATATGTGAAATTAGGTTGTAATAATTAAATAAGTTTAAGAGAACTTGAAAATTAAATGGTAATAATATGCATACCGGCCTGTGTTTTCTTCTTGCACCTTCTTTTTGAGGTCGATGATGTTGGGTGAGTTGTTTTTGAAACATCATCTTCTCCTTGCAAATGCAAAGCATTAGTAAAAGGTGATGGTGTTGATGTTAAAATTGATAATGTTTGAATTGCGTTTAAAAATTTATTATTTTTATCCGATGATTCCATTTTAGTATTTTTTAAAATAGATTTTGAAACAACTTGATATTTTTGTTTATGATTTCTTCAATAAATAGAATATAGTATTATTGAAGTAGTTGTTTGGTAAAAAAAAAAAAAAAAAGGGTTAGCACAATACAAAAGCAATGAAAATATATAGTATAAAAATCCCTAATAACACAAGACTTTGAAAAGAGAGATAAAAACACAATAACTTTGAAAAATAAATAAATTTAGTTTTGATGCATAAAAAATGGCTTGAAAATGCTAATAAACCATAAAATAAAATAAAAAACACGAAAAGCAACGGAAGACTAGAGTAAGAAACTCTACAAAAGAAGTATAGAAAACAACTATGAATTATGTAGTATTTCATCTCGCTTTAGTTGCACCTATATATAGTATAGAGTTATAAACAGAATCTAACGATTTTTGTAACGACGTTGTTTTTACTTACTATAAAATTTACATATAACAAACGACGTTTCAATTGTTCGAAATTAGTATATTTCAATATTAGATTTTGTTGGCAAATGACTTTAATACGTTTGCGTCAAATATGAAAGGTACAAACATTGTAGATTCGTCACTCTATAAAACAATATCTACATCTTTTCATTTCATTCGATGTAGATATATCTCATTTGTTAATGACCAATTATTATTTTTTAAAAATGACTAAATGTTTCAAGATTAGACTTTTCCGACAAACTATTTTAACACGTTTTATGTCAAATATGAAAGGTATAAATATTGTAGAATTGTCATTCTATAACACAATATCTACATCGTTTCATTTCATTCAATCTGGGTAGATATCCTTTTTTCAATGACTAAATTTTATCTTCTTATATTTTATCTCTATATAATCTCTTCTTTTTTTTTCAAAATATAACTAAATGTTTCAAGATTAGATTTTATTGACAAACGACATTAACACATTTACGTTAAATATAAAAAGGTACAAATATTGTAGATTTGTCACTATATGAAACAATATCTACATCTTTTCATTTCATTCAATTTGGATATATCTCATTTTTTTAACGACTAAATTTTATCTTATTTGAGTTTATATCCACATAACCTTTTTTTTTTTCAAAAAAAAAAAAAAAAAAAACACAATTGTTCAATCATGGACTTTTAGCCCAATAAAACCTAAATCTTGTAAATTTGAAAAGAAAGGACGTATCAAATCCAAGTCCAGCCCAGAATGAGTTGATCCATTTTGGAGTTGGCCCAAAGAAATAACCCATGTTTTCTACTTAGACATGGCAAATCAAGTTTGGTCTATGGTTGACAAATGACAAAAAGTAAATTATCATCTAATCCCTGTGATTTAACAGAAATAATTAGCCATCCTTATAGTTTAAAAGAATCAACATTGAATCCTTCTATTTTTATAATTATTTACAGAAAATGGTGATATATTTATAGGGATTCCTTTTTTTTTTTTTTTTTCCCACTTCAAAGAATAACTTTTGAAAATAAAAGTACTTATCAAAACTCAGTCTTTTTACGAAATATTTTAGGATGTAATTTTTTTAAAATGAATTCACGAAGAAATGATTGAGTATATATAATAATTATTTTTTGAATATTTTAAAATTTGTAGATTAACATGACGTGAAAATCCGATAGATTTCTCACTCCTTATCCATGTATAAATAAATAAATATAAAGTTGGTACGTAGACAAATAATACAAATAGCTTTGAATGTATAATTGAAAGTCTGCTGTCGTTATTACCAGATTCAGAATTTCTTTATAAAAAAATTGAACTGAAGCTGTAGTTGTTCTAGCCCAGGCAAGATCAATACTGTCTCACTTGATTCCTCTCTGTAACGATGGAGGTCCCAGCTTTTGATGTGTCTTCCTCAATTCTTCTTCTTTCCCTCTTTCTTCTCCTCATGTTTCTGTTTAGGTTCGTTGCACAGAATCTGAAGCTGGGATCGAAACGAAAACTTCCTCCAGGGCCAATGAAGCTGCCTCTTATAGGAAACCTGCACAACTTGGCAGGTTCAACACTACCACACCATGCCTTTAGAGATCTTGCCAAGAAACATGGACCCTTGATGCATCTGCAACTCGGTGAAGGTTCTGTGGCTGTAATATCATCACCGAAGATGGCTGAAGAGGTGTTGAAGACACACGATGTCGTCTTTGCTCAGAGGCCAGAAACAGTTGCCTCTAGAATATTAACGTTTGGGACTAAAGATATTGCCTTCTCGCCACAAGGTGATTACTGGAGGCAAATGAGGAAAATATGTACAATGGAGCTCTTAGGTCCTAAGAGGGTTCAATCATTCTCTGCTATTCGACACGATGAGGTTACCAAATTCATTGAATCCATTCGGGCATTTGCAGGAAGATCGATGGATTTTACTGAAAAAGTTTTCTTGCTGACAAGTGTAATAACTTGCAGAGCAACATTAGGGGACCAATGCAGAAACCAAGACGCAGTGATATCGCTAACCAAAGAAGGATCAATCTTGGCAGGAGGTTTCAATTTAGTCGACCTGTTTCCTTCACTAGGGTTTCTTCTGGTCATTGGGCTGAAACCTAAACTAGAGAAAGTACTTAATCAAATCAACAAGATCTTGGATTCTATCATTGATGGCCACAAGGAGAAGTTGATGGGAGACAGCGAAGCAGCGGAGGAGGATCTGGTTGATGTTCTTCTAAGGCTTCAAGGGAGTGGAACCCTAAAGTGCCCTATAGAAAACACCCACATCAAAGCTGTTCTTTGGGTAAGTGATTCTGCCATATAATCTGTTTTTAGAATCTTTTCATTGCAACTAAGCTCTGTGTAGGATCATTGCTAGCTTTGATTACTTATTTCCAGCATTAGTACAAATCTTGATTCATTTTCATGTAGGATATGTTCTTTGCTGGAACTGATAGTTCATCAACAGTAGTAGAATGGGCTATGGCAGAAATGGTGAAAAACCCAAGAGTGTTAAAGAAAGCACAGGGTGAGATAAGACAAGTCCTCAAAGGAAAGAAAACAATTACAGAGACAGACATTCAGGAACTAAATTACCTGAAGTCAGTGATCAAAGAAACTCTGAGGCTACACCCTCCAGCCCCATTGTTACTTCCAAGAGAAAGCAGAGAAATATGTGAGATTGATGGGTATGTAATCCCTGCAAAAACCAAAGTCATGGTCAATTCCTGGGCTATAATGAGAGATCCTGAGCATTGGCAGGATGCTGAAAACTTCATCCCTGAACGGTTCGGTGATAATTCTTCCTTTGATTTTAGAGGTACTAACTTTACGTACATGCCATTTGGAGCTGGAAAGAGGATATGTCCTGGTGTATCTTTTGGTGTGGCAAATGTGGAGCTTCCACTTGCAAATTTACTCTACCATTTCAATTGGGAACTCCCAGATGGGATTACACCAGAGAGTTTAGACATGGCTGAAGTCTTTGGAGCCACTGTTGGACGAAAGAACCACCTCTGTTTGATTCCCACTCCTTACGTACCTCCCCACGATGACTGAAGCCAACAAACTGTGACATTGAGTGTTCTTATCTCTTAAAAAATGCTTGTTTAGTGGATTTTGCTATTATCCAGACTTAGTAAAATTTAAATTTTTTTTATTGAGATACTAAGTTTTTTCTACTATTTAATTTAAAAGTTCTATCGTTATATTATTTTTGTTTTAGATTCTAATATATTACGTACGTACACGTGATAAGTTGTCTTGACTAACAACTCTAGCCAATAACAGCTTATCATGATACAAATTCAATCACCCAATTTGAGTCCATTTACATCAATTCAACACCTAATTTGGGCTTACTATGACATATGATAAACTGTTATTGATTAGAACTTGTTATTGTTATACAACTTGTCATGATGCTTACGTAACAAGCTATTATTGGCTAGAGTTTGAAACAATAACAATATAAGAGTAAAACTTTTAAATTAGATAGAAAAAAATTTAGGATCTCAATCAAAAGAATTCAAGGATCTCAATTAAAAAAATTCAAATTATATAAGGTCTTGATATGCATAAAACTCGTTGTCTAATTATTGCATTATTTTGGGATTAATGGTACGTTTTGCCCCTGTACTCTTTTTTCTTACCATATGCTATTAATCTCATCATTTTGTACTGAAGACTTTCGGAATTAAAGACCTTGTGCTGTACAGTTCAACTAAGTTTATTATGGTTTCCATTCATGAGATCAACGGTTAATAGCTTAATTCATTTTTATATAATAAGATAATTTTTAATTTGTCATTATATTCTTAATTGACTCAAATTTATTTTTAAATATGTATTAAGTTTTTAATCTTTTTTTATAACTAAATTTTATTTCTAAAATATTTTTACAAGCCAAGAATGATAAAATTAAATATTTAAAAATAAAATTAATTTAATTAAAAATATAAAGATAAATTGTAGATTTATCATGTTATATAACCATAAATTTAAACTTAACATTAGATTAATGTACATTTTCTCTAACTACAAGGCGTTAGCTTTATGATAAGCAAATCTTGTCTTATAGGTTAGGTCCAGGTTCGATCTTTATGGACGGTATTTTTAAAATTTTATTTTTAAAATATTTAAAATCGTATATTGAAGAATGTCTTTTAACCATACTCGAAAAAAACAAGCATGTGGTTTTTTAGAATTAAACAAGAATAGAATTAAAGAGCCTCTTCTATAATCACAATTAATTGATTTAGCCCAGTCCAATTACATAAATGCCTTGCATTTTATACGAATCCTCCCCTTTCTTGTTTCTCAAATGTGGTTTTTTAGAGAATTTTTTGAAAAAAAAAATCAAGCATGACATAAATAAAAGAAATTATTCTCCAGATATATTTTCCATGTAATTAAACGTAAGGCACTTGTCGATGGAAAAAAAAAACAAGCCAAATGATTTTCAGCCTAATGTTACACCCGTAAAAAAAGAACTTTTACGAAAGAATTTTTCTGAAAGTTAATTAAAAACGCTAGATAAATCTGAAATCCTTTTGAAGACTATGAAATACGAGAGAAACCTCTAGATTGTCAAATATATATACATATAAACATGTTTTAGAGAATTCTAAAAAAATTCTCATAACTCTAGCTTATTTAGATAACTTTTTATAAATATCCAAATAACAAAATTCTAAAAAATATTTTATAACCGTTAAATTAAATAGATTGAAGAGGTGGATGATAATATATAAAAGGTACTTTCATTTGGTTAAACCATTCAGAAATGCAAGAGTTGTATTTTAAAAAAATTATAAACGTTAGAGAGTTAGAGAGAAATACAAAGAATTTATTTATTATTTTTGTGTTTGTTTTTCTTATTTAATAACTTTGTGTGAGAGATTTGATTTGATTTAGAGGAAAAATGAATCAAACGCTTTACTAGAGTTTGAGAAAGATCAATTTTGGGACAAGAAGGTGCTTCTTTTTTCTGTCTTTTGTTGACTAAGAAAAGTCCCTTAATTATTCATACCTACATTTTCTTCAAAACTAAGATCCCTCACTTTTTTCAACTTTCTTCGCTAGCATCCGCAAATAATCCAATTTTCTCCAACACAGACATAAGAAAATTATAAATTATTCTCTCTAATTTTATAAATAAAATTAAACAATCCTTTTAGTTTTAAAAAATTAATTTATTAGTTCTTTGACCAACATCGATCATGATAAATTTAATATTATTTTGTTCAAAAAAATATCTTCTTTTCTCGCCCATCTTTCTATATTTTTTTCAACTTTCTTAGCTAGCATTTGCAAATAATCCAATTTTTTCCAACATAGACACTAATAAAGTCAATCAAGAGAATCACAAAGTTGCCGACTCTCTCAAATATCTTTACCAAATTTCTTTTTTTTTTTTCATTTTAAGTATTCATAATTTAATACACCAAAACTATTTCTTATTAGTATCCCAATTAATTTTCGTTAGCGAAAAATTAACTTTTCCTTAAATTTGAATATAAGATAAGTAAATTTGAATAACAATGCATTTAGATTATATTTAAAAACATTTTTTAAATATGCTTAAATTGAAATTTCGATGTAAAATTGTCAAAACTATCGAAAAATACTCAAAAAATATCAATCTAAACACATTTTTATAAAAATACTTACAATATAATACCAAATATTAGAGTCCAATTATCAAATATTTTTAAGATACGAATAAATTAAAGTTTCCATATAAAAATGTAAAATTTTATAAAAAAATACTGAAAAAATATCAATCTAAACACATTTTTATAAAAATAATCATTGAATATCACTAGAATTGAATTTACTTGGCAAAACATCCCGCGCTTTCCAAGATAAAACAAAAATTTGAATTCAGACAGCGCTCCTCAATCAAGCTCACCCACTTTGCCATCTGTCCTTAACCTTTGAAAACCTCAAACTCAGCAAAAACCCCACCTTTTTTTTTCTATCTTCTTTCTTCTTCTCCTTCTTCTCTCTTTGTCCGAAAGATTCAATCTTTAATGGCTTCTCGCTACAATTCCTACGACTCAAGGTCCTCAACCTCCTCTTACTTCTCAGACCCATCTTCATCCACTGAGCTAAGCTACAAACACTCAACTTCACGAGCAATAATCAAGTCCAAACCACCAGAATTGTCAAAAATCAAGGTAAAAAACAATGGAAATGATCACAATTTAAGCAAAATGGTGAAGAAACTCGTGGAGAAGAAGTCAGTATCTTCCGCATCGAGTAAAGGATCATCAAGTAAGGGTGTGGGGTTGGTGATTCCATCGGATCTAATAGCTGAGGATTTGAAGAAGACAGCGAGGAAAGGGACTGGTTTTATGGGGTTGCAGAAGAAGTTATTCGGGAAGGAAAATAAGAAGGAGAAGAAGGAAGTGAAGGCGTTGACGGAGGCGAAAGTGAATAGTAATACAAGGACTTTAGCTATGGTTTTGAAGAGTGAGAGAGAGCTTTTGAGTGATAATAAAGAACAAGAATTGGAGATTGATAAGCTTAAATTGATTCTCGAGGACAAGAACAGAGAAGTAAGTAGTGTTTTTGTTGATTGTTTTTTCTTTTTGGGTTTTGGTTTTTGTGCTTATTGGTGTCTTTTTCCCTTTTTTTGGTGTAGGTCGAGAGGTTAAAAGATTTGTGCTTGAAGCAAAGAGAAGAGATTAGGTCATTAAAAAGTTCAATACTTTTTCCCGATGTAACGAATTCCCAGCTTCAAGACTTACTAAAGCAGCAAGGATCAGAATTGAAGCAAGCAAAACAACTCATTCCAACTCTTCACAGGCAGGTCACTTCCCTTACAGACCAATTGCAATGCCTTGCAGAGGATCTTGCTGAGGTATTAACCTGAAAAGAAAAGTTATCAAATTTTTGGATTTTTGGTGTTTTCATTCATTCTTTTACTGTTGTGAGGTGTATCACTATTAATCATTGAGGGTGGATTTAAATGCGGCTGAAATGAAATCTGAAGGTTGTGCATGTATAAGCTCCTTGCTTTCTAATCTATGGGAGAATCTTTGAAGATACTAACGCAAAATTTGGTTGCATAAATGAGCATTAAGGTTTCCCAGTGACTATTATGCTAGCTGTACGTAATGTTCCATCTTAATTAGCATCTGCAATTTTAGTATAAAATCAGATTCATCTTCAGATTATTAAAATCAATGCTGCTCAAATTATAAGGTTTCTTTATTGAAGGGTCAAGTATTTCTTTTGATGTCACATACAATGAGACTATAGATGATTTTATATGCTGAACATCATTTGCATTATTGTGTTTCTCTGCAATTTGTTGGTGTTTCCATGCTGCTTGTTTGATTTAGTGGACTGCAGTTTTGGGTAAAAGTCAGTTTAAGTTGGCATGGGCAGATGGGGTTGAATTCCCTGGTTTCATCAGAATTCAGACACTCCTTTCAAAATTCAAACAAGGGGTGGCTTTATGATAGTATTTGGGGTGTATAGTTGTTAATTATATTTTTCATCTTGAGAAGGTGAAGGCAGATAAATTTGCAAGGGCACATATCCAATATCAGGGCAGCTCACCGGAGACACCAACCTATGACCATGAAGAAACTGCTAATTCCTTAGTAAGTATGCCATTTTCTTATTCATATATTAAGCTATAGTTGACATTTCACAGTTGTGCTCCAAACAAGTTGCTGTTGTTGTCAGAATTCTCCCAAGTATGGTATAGTGTTAAGATTAAAGGACAGGGTTCGACACTTAGCAAAGAGTCACAGCTTCCTTTGTTTATTTATTCTCAGAATGAAGCTACAATTTCTTTACTTGAAACATTGCTTACATCATAAAAAGAAAGTATAATCTGATCTTGATTTGTCATCTACAAAATAATAACTTGTAATCCCATACCAAATTGTTCAACCACTCTATAAAAGTGGAACCAGAAGACTTTAAATGATTTTATATGCGTACTTGGCATAAGACTGAAGACTGATCTGGTTTAAAGCCAATTTCATTACCAAATTGTTCGACCACTCCATTAATCTGTTTCCTTTACAATAAAAGTTTAGGATGTCTTTGAATTGAAAACTACGTTCACTGTGCTTGGTATTGATTTCAGGCCATCAGTTAACAATTGTTGAAGTTTCCTTGTGGCTTAAGCACTGAAATGTTGTGTACTAGAAATGCCATGATCTTCTTCTAAGTTCTGCTTTACGAACTTTATAAGCTTGTTGAGTCAAATTATCTTTCCTTTAGCTCTTCTTTTGTGACGATTTGACTACAACAATTCAGGAGTTTAGCTCTTGCGATGGCGCAACACCGGGTAGTCCAGAGGACATGTTTCTCAAGGATTTTAATCCGTGTTTAACACCCTATTGTGCCAAGAAAAAATCCAAGGTCAGCAGACAATGCTTCTTTGAGCTCAGACAATATTTAATCCAAAAATCCCTACCCTATGATATGCACTCTAAGCAACCTTGTAAGGATAATACTGACAGAATGGACATTTCTTCCAGGAATTTGAGACAATGGGCTATGAGTCTTCGCTTGATGGAAGCTTATCCGGGAGCAATACCCAAATGAGCGATGGACTTAGCTTCAGCTCTCGTGTCAGAAAGTTATCCAAAAGTTCAGACTGTTACCAGAATTCCAACACAGGAAGGACAATGACCCGAGCAACTCGCAGGTCAGATGAAAGCAAAGGAGCATACGGAAAGCAAATGCAACAAAGACATTTCTAGCATCTTCGTGGTCATTCTGTTCTTACGAGGCATGCCTGTCATCAATTGATGCTCTTTTGTACTTTTTATGTTGATTATGGACTATAGTTGTATTGCTGTAATATCTCCTAGATGTAAATGGTGCTGTGTAAGCACTTGAATAGGGATGGGAAGCCATATATATGTGAGTGGAAAAACATGTTATAGGCTGCACGGTTGTGCTACGGTATTAATCAAGTGCTGCCAGTTTCAAATATGAACTTGAAAGAGAGTATTTTGATGGTACAAACTGTTTTCTTTATTCTTCTACCAAGATTTTGGTGTTTGGTGGTGCCTGGTGGAGAAATGTAGGGAAAGATAAATGTCCAAAGAAGTACTCTGGACAGAAACAGTTGTCAATTAGGGATGAGAATTGTCAATGCATCACCATGTAAGCTTCAGCATGCCATTAAAAATTTATAGAACTTGAAGTTGAAGCAGGATAAGAAGACATGGCGAGGCCCAAAAAAAGAAGTTGCACGCTAATGTCGAAGCAAGGGAAGCAGAGCAGAGCAGTCACAATTACTATAAAAAGAGAACAAAGTTAAATAGCAATTGTATATGAATATATATCTATATATATATATATATATATATATATATAAAACAATCTGAAGGCATAAGATATGTGATATTGATTTAACCAAGCATGACATTTGGCCTTTCTGCTTCTGGTGTATGACAAACTGTAACGAGGAGCCAAAGTCTTGGTGTCAGCAGAACACTAAATAGACATATCATAGCTTCCTGAGAGATTGTGGATTGAATCCGGGAACTGGGGCTAGCCACCATGGGAGGACAAAGGGAAAGGCCTTGTACATATAATTTTTAGATGGAGTAGGAAAAAAGTTCAGGCCATTCTTTCTCCATGTTGACCACGATAACAAACTCACCAAGCCAAAGATATGCAATCATCAATTTCATTGAAAGCAATCTTCATTAAGCCAGCAATATAACTAAGATGAACTGATTTTTCTAGGATATTGATGACATCAAGCACCCTTGAAATTTCCACTGCATAACACAAAGCCATTGCTTGAACCTAATACCCTGGAGTACTCAATATCCTGTGGTTGTACTGGAAGGAAAGTTCTGAAACATGACTCGAGGGGTTTGAATGCTGGTTCCTCAAATGCTACATCTACCACACCATATCGATCCTCACGGCAGGCAGAGCGATGGAAAGCTAGCCAATGCCTTTAGATTGGAACCTCGGGTCGACTAAGTTTACATTGGTGAGCAAAGTAATGGCTAGAGATCAAAGAAAACCAATGCTTCGATACACACTTGAAGCGGTGAGCTGACTCTGCAGGGAGTCTGAGGAGAATATCAAACAATAGACCACCAGCAAGGTCATTGAAACAAGAAGCTTTACAAGGGATCCATTGAAGGACAGAGTTAAGTAAATTTTGGGTTAGCTAGTGTTCGGACAGTATTTCTTCGGGAATTCCTAATTCCTGTACATGCTGTTTATTTTCCTTTCCACAAAATGTACCAATTTAACTAATTGTCAGGACAGTATAATCTCATCATTAATATTGCACTAAAACTTATTTGTTTATTTATTTTATGGAGAATATAAAAGGAGTTTGAGAGGGCAAGCTGTAGAATTCTTGTTTTATGAAGCTTCGACTGTAGCATGCAGAGTTCTCCATGATTTTTTCTATTTCAGTCTCTCTCCATGATTTCTTTTATATCTTTCCCTTCAAATAGCTAGCGTAGATTTTCCGGCACCAAGCTAGGGCCAAAGGAAGAACTGAAAGAAAACATATTTAGCCCAGTAAAACTCATGGCTGCAATCACCAACTAGCTACAAATTAGCAAAATCTGTTGCAAACTTCCTCAAGAAGAGGACATCTCAAAAACAAGTGACTGCGATCTTTAGAGGTGCTATATGGTCATCATCTAATTGGCTGCAATGGCATCTGTCAAGTGCAGTCAAGCCTTGCAAAACAAGGTCGGGGATATTCTAGTTGAGGCATGGTGCTGCTATGGAGGTTAAGGGGTGAATACACGCACGAGACTCAATTTCTATTGCTGCGCCCTTTGAAACTGTGATGTTTGAGAAGATGAGCTCGTACACTGCCACTAACAAACTGATCGAGTACGGTTCTATACTGTTTAATTTCAGCAGGGAATAGGGAAGGAATTTTAATTTCTTATCACGAGTAATCCTATATGGATTGTAATATACGGTGTCATCCTACCTGTCGTGTCATGTCACGTGGAATCAAAATTTTGAACAAAAAAATTACTTTCGTGCTAATATAATTACCATAAGCTTAGTTTATGTATTTTTCATCTATTTTTTAAAAAATATACTGAAATAATTAAAACGTGTTAAGTTTGTGATTTAATGTAATTAAATCCATGCATGTTAAAAAAATTCAAAGTAAACAATTAGTAGATATAAATAGGATAAAGAGTGAGTACCTACACCTTAAAATCATATTAATAAGTATGCATATTTTTTCTTTTTTACTTTTATGTGTCTCAATATCCATTTGACATTTTTAATAGATATTTATTAGGTCGGATGGAGCGAGTGCATGTGTTATACCCGGGTCCATTTCTATCTCTAGTTAGAGTTAAGAAGTATGAGTTGTGTCCAGAGAGTAGAATATATTATATACCATTAATTTGGGTTTGGAGTTTATGAAATAGCTACTCGAATATATCATTAGTTACTTCAGTATTATAAAATTTCTCAAATAAATCCCAAGTACGTCCAACCACTTCTTGGGGGGTTTTTGGCAAGTAAATCCAACCATTAATTTGGGTTTGGGGTTTTTTTGGCAAGTAAGTCTTGAATATGAGGTTTTTTGATAAGTAAATCTCACCATTGAGTTGTGTTTGGAGTTTTTTTGGTCATTTTAATTTTAATTTTAATTTAAACGAAGGTAAATTAATTCATGTGTTGTTGCATGTCATTATTTTTTTAAAAAGGGAAGGTCCACTTATGAAAAAAAAAAAATTGAAGATCCATGTATATATACCTATCTTGCCTTGCCGTGTCTTTGAATTTGTAATGCAATGGCATTAGATAGCATCACAAGCAAGCCATCAATAACCGCTGATCATTACCACGCAAAAGATGATCTCGAAAAGTCTTTAGTTTTTGATGCACAAGTTCTTAGACGCCAATCAAACATACCCCAACAGTTCGTTTGGCCTAACCATGGAAAGCCTGGTGTTGACGCACCTGAACTCAAAGTTCCAGCCATAGACTTGGGTGATTTCCTATCCAGGAACCCTGTTGCTGCAATGGAAGCTTCAAGAGTTGTTGGTGAAGCATGTCAAAAACATGGTTTCTTTCTTGTTGCTAATCATGGAGTCGATCAAGGACTCATTGCTCATGCCCATAACTACATGGACAACTTCTTTCAATTGCCCCTTCCTGAGAAACAGAAGGCTCAAAGAAAGATTGGCGAGTCTTGTGGATATGCTACTAGCTTTACTGGCAGGTTTTCCTCAAAACTTCCATGGAAAGGAACACTTTCTTTTTCCTATACGGCTGAGAAGAATTCATCCAAAAACATAGAGGAATATTGTCATGAAAGAATGGGGGAAGATTTTGCCTAATTTGGGTCTGTAACATTTTGTTTTCCATTCAATTTGATTTTGTTCGATGTTGTTTGCTAAGATTAATGTTCATATCTTCTTCTGTTGTCATCAGGAAAGTGTATCAGAACTATTGTGAGGCCATGAGCAATTTGGCACTTGGGATCATGAGCTATTAGGAATGAGCCTTGGTGTGAGCAGAGCACATTTCAGGGAGTATTTTAAAGATAATGATTCAATAATGAGGCTTAACTACTACCCTCCATGCCAAAAACCTGAGCTTACTTTAGGAACTGGTCCTCATAGTGATCCAACTTCTTTAACCATCCTTCATCAAGACCAAGTAGGTGGTCTTCAAGTGTTAGTAGACAACGAATGGCGTTCGATTAGCTCCAATTTCGACACTTTTGTCGTTAACATTGGCGACACCTTCATGGTAAAATATTAACTCACACCATTATGAGTTATCATCCACACAAGTAAAACGATCCTGTCAATCTATTCTAAAACTATCTTATACGGAAGGGAATAACTGTTTAACTTATTTCTCAAATTTGAATTAATGATTACTGGAAAGACTAATAATGTAGTTGGTTTTTGTTGTTTCTAAGGCTCTATCAAATGGTATATTCAAGAGTTGCTTGCATCGAGCAGTGGTGAACAGCCAGACACCAAGAAAATCTCTTGCTTTCTTTTTGTGTCCAAAGAATGACAAGATGGTAACTCCACCAAATGAATTAGTGGACACATGCAATCCAAGAAAATATCCAGATTTCACATGGCCTATGTTGTTTGAATTCACACAAAAGCATTACAGATCTGACATGAACACACTTGAGATGTTCTCGAATTGGCTTCAAGAGAAGTATTAATTTCCTGAACCAGTGTCCTGCATCTCTTTTTTAAGATAATAAGGACAGCTGCTGGAGATTCTACTTCTGATGGATATCTGAAGCAATGTAATGAGTTAGCTTCTTCTTCTTCTTCTTCTTTTCTTTTTCCTTTTACTTCTTGTGCTTGATAAAAATAAATTTGAAATTTTACAAAAAATTCATGTTTTTCCTTCTTTAAGACTTGTTCCCTTAACAGTTTACGACATTATCAAATACCTACCATTTTTCTTACTGCATCGATCTAAACTTTTGGTGATATCCACCAACATTTGATGAAGATAATACAGTAAATCAAGCTCAATCAAATCATAATCATAGGTCTTGCCTCACATGGAGTCTAGATCTATGACAAGCAATTGTCGCTCCTCCTCGATTGATCGAATAATCGATCTTCATCGGGGTTAAAAGTGTCGAACTTACCCTAATTTAAAAAATGAAATCCATTTTGCCTTAACAGTAATTTATTTTCACCTTTTTATTATTTCATTTTTATTTTAATATGTATTAAATTTATTCTTGCTTATGTGTCCGTAATTAATTAATTTGTCGTGAAATTCCTATAAGTCAATTGTGTTGTTGATGTGCTTGTATGGTTTAGTTGATGTGCTTACTCTATAAATATTTGTTATTCCTCGTGCGAACTACATGTTCATGTTATTTTTGTCGACGATAAATTTAAATCATTCACGTGCTAATTTCATTTAAAAATGCAATTTTGAATCCCGTTGTTTGATCACTTTTGTTAAATAACAATAAAGCCCAAGCATCGTTGTAAACTTACCTTATTTTGCTAATTTTTGCCTAATTGTTGATTTTTGACAACTTGCTAATTTGTCGATTTTTGCCTAATTGTCGATTTTTGTCAACTTATGGATTTTTGTCGATTTTGCCTATTTATCGATTTTAACATAATTGTTTATTTTACTTAATTGCTGATTTTTGCTAATTTATCGTCTTTTGCTGATTTTGCCTATTTGTCGAATTTGCCAACCCATCGATTTTTGCCTATTTACCAACTTTTGTCGATTTTTATCTAATTGCCGATTATGCCTATTTGCGAATTTTACCTATTTTGCCTATTTGCCAATTTGTCGATTTTTGCCTATTTTACCTAACTCGCCTATTTGTCTCGTTTGTCGATTTTGCTTATTTTGCTTAATTGCATGTTTGTTGATTTTGCTAATTTATTGATTGTTTCCTATTTTTTCTAATCGCCTATTTGCCAATTTTGTCAATTTGTCGATTTTGCCTATTTTTCTGTTTGTCGATTTTGCCTATTTTACTTAATTTACTATTTGTCGATTTTGCTAATTTAGTCAATTTGTTAATTTTGCCTCTTTTGCTTATTTGCCGATTTGTCGATTTTGCCTAATTTTCTGTTTGCCAATTTTACCAATTTGTTGATTTTGCCTATTTTGCCTAATTGCTTACTTACTTGTTTGTCGGTTTCGTCAATTTGCCGATTTTGCCTATTTACCAATTTTATCGATTTTGTCAATTTTGCTAATTTGCCAATTTTGTCAATTTGTCGATTTTGCCATTGTTTGTCTATTTGTCCATTTTTGTCTAATTGTCTATTTGTCGGTTTCGCCAATTTGCCTATTTTTTCCGTTTCGTTTACCTATTTGCTTATTTTTAAGTTTTGTTTTCATACATGCTCGTCTAAGCTTCATTAGCAACACATCCCCGTATTCATAATTTTTTTAACTATTCATTATAGAGTGAGGACAAGGTCTTTGATTGGCCAAGTCTCAAATCACTCGATCGATAGGCAAATGCTTGAAAGATAGGTATAGACTCGTCATTATAAAAAAATTAGACATCAAATCAATGTTATATGCAATGCGACTTGCTTTAGGTAGGACGAGGTTGGGTAATTTTTAATCGTCCTTACACGTTATAAACCTTTTATCCGGAACTCTAAACGGACCAGTTATAAGGTTTTCTAGAAACCATAATACTAGGTAGCGACTTCAATCATTTTTGCCAATTTTCCTATTTTCGCCCAAAATCGTCGTCCCGCGACAACTAGAGACTAGATGCTTGGACGGTTCAATCTGTAAATTAGATTTTACGTTACATGAGGTAACCAATTAAAGTACCCGTTAAAAATAATTTATCAAAATATTTTATTTTAGTCTCTATGATTTTTAAAAAGTTTTTTTGGTTCTTAAAATTAAGTTTTTTTTTTTTAAAAAAAAATTGTCTTTAAAGTTTTCAAAAAAAATATTTTGGTCCTTAGTTTTTAAATTTTATGCAATTAAATCTATGCAAGTTAATTAAAAAAAATTAAAACTAAATTAGTAGATATAAGTAGGATAAGGAGTAAATAACTATATCCTAAAATCATATTAATAGGTATGTATTTTATACCTTTATGTGTTTCAATATCCATTTAACATTTTTAATGAATATTTATTAGGCCGGATAGAATGGGTATTCGTTTTATATCCGATCCATTGCTATCTCTAATTAGAGTTAGGAAGTATGAGTTGTGTACAAAGAATAGAATATAGTATGTACCATTAATTTAGGTTAATTTGGGGGGTTTTTGGCAAGTCAATCCCAAGTATGTCCAACCCCTAATTTGGGTTCGGAGTTTTTTGGCAAGTAAATCCAACCATTAATTTGGGTCTGGGTTTTTTTGGCAAGTAAGTCTTGACTATGAGGTTTTATTTGCAAGTAAATGTCATCACTGAGTTGTGTTTGGATTTTTTTGGTCATTTTAATTTTAATCTGAAAGAAGATCAATTAACTCATGCGTTATGTCATTGTTTTACTGAATTAAGTGACTCTCATGCGCAACAAATCATCTATAAAAAGAACAAAAAAAGGGAAGATCCATGCCTATATGCATATATTGCCTTTCCATTTCTTTGAATTTGAAATGCAATGGCATCAGATAGCATCACAAGCAAGCCATCAATAACCGCCGATCATCACCACGCAAAAGATGATCTCGAAAAGTCTTTAGTTTTTGATGCACAAGTTCTTAGACGCCAATCAAACATACCCCAACAGTTCGTTTGGCCTGACCATGAAAAGCCTGGTGTTGATGCACCTGAACTCAAAGTTCCAGTCATAGACTTGGGTGATTTCCTCTCCGGTAACCCTGCTGCTGCAATGGAAGCTTCAAGAGTTGTTGGTGAAGCATGTAAAAAACATGGTTTCTTTCTTGTTGCTAATCATGGAGTCGATCAAAGACTCATTGCTCATGCCCATAGCTACATGGACGACTTCTTTCAATTGCCCCTTCCTGAGAAACAGAAGGCTCAAAGAAAAATTGGCGAGTCTTGTGGATATGCTAGTAGCTTTACTGGCAGGTTTTCCTCTAAACTTCCATGGAAAGAAACATTTTCTTTTTCCTATACGGCTGAGAAGAATTCATCAAAAAATATAGAGGAATATTGTCATGAAAGAATGGGGGAAGATTTTGCCGAATTTGGGTCTGTAACATTTTGTTTTCCATTCAATTTGATTTTGTTCGATGTTGTTTGCTAAGATTAATGTTCATATCTTCTTCTGTTGTCATCAGGAAAGTGTATCAGAACTATTGTGAGGCCATGAGCAATTTGGCACTTGGGATCATGGAGCTAATAGGAATGAGCCTTGGTGTGAGCAGAGCACATTTCAGGGAGTATTTTAAAGATAATGATTCAATAACGAGGCTTAACTACTACCCTCCATGCCAAAAACCTGAGCTTACTTTAGGAACTGGTCCTCATAGTGATCCAACTTCTTTAACCATCCTTCATCAAGACCAAGTAGGTGGTCTTCAAGTGTTAGTAGACAATGAATGGCGTTCGATTAGCTCCAATTTCGACACTTTCGTCATTAACATTGGTGACACCTTCATGGTAAAATACTAATTTACGCCGTTATGAATTATCATCCATACAAGTAAAACGATCATGTATGTCTGTCTGTCTGCTCTAGAACTATCTTATGCGTATAGGGATAACTGTACTTATTTCTCAAATTTGGATTAATGATTACAGGAAAGACTAACATGTAGTTGGTTTTTGTTGTTTCTCAGGCCCTATCAAACGGTATATTCAAGAGTTGCTTGCACCGAGCAGTGGTGAACAGCCAGACACCTAGAAAATCTCTTGCTTTCTTTTTGTGTCCAAAGAATGACAAGATGGTAACTCCACCAAATGAATTAGTGGACACATGCAATCCAAGAAAATATCCAGATTTCACATGGCCTATGTTGTTTGAATTCACACAAAAGCATTACAGATCTGACATGAACACACTTGAGATGTTCTCGAATTGGCTTCAAGAGAAGTATTAATTTGCTGAACAGGTGTCCTGCATCTCTTTTTCAAGATAATAAGGACAGCTGCTGGAGATTCTATTTCTGATGGATATCTGAAGCAATGTAATGAGTTATCTTCTTCTTCTTCTTCTTCTTCTTCTTCTTCTTTTTCCTTTTTACTTCTTGTGCTTGACAAAAATAAATTTGAAATTTTACAGAAAATTCATGTTTTTCATTCTCTAAGATTTGTTTCCTTAATAGTTTACCACATTATCAAATGCCTACCATTTTTCTTATTGCACGAATCTAAACTTTTGGTGATATCCACCAACATTTGATGGAGATAATTGAGTAAATCAAGTTCAATCAAATCATAATTATAGGTTTGACTGAGATTCTGTCCATATAAGTTAAGAATATAATCTGAAGATGAAACTGTAACAATAATAGAGCTGTAATCTCTCTTGTATTATTTTGTTCATATAAGTTAGGAACATGATCTTAGGATTCATCGTAATAAAATGTGAATGATAGGTGTAATTGAGATTCTGACCATGTAAGTTAAGAACATGATCTTAGGATTAAATTGTAACAATAATAGAGTTGTAATAACTATTATATTCAACGTGTATAAGATTTCCCGCTCTTTAAAGAACAAGAAATACACATTCAACAGTCTGATTTTTCCCAGCATTTCTTGCCAGAGAACTTGTGGATTGAATCCAGGAACCAGGGTTGGGCAGGACGAATGCTATGGCCGAGCCAAAATGGTTTATACATAGAGAATAAAAGACTGCTTTTGGCCTATTTCTCTTCACACTGAAGATAATAAATGCTGATTACCAAACCAAAGATAGGCAAGTTTCCTAGTTCTGGTCTTTTGTGTGGAAATCATGTCCTCTGAATTCTGATTTGAAAATCACAGACTGAAATTCTCAAATAAGTACATTTGAAATGCCGGTGATAGACGCAAAGAAAATGATGAAAGGACTTCGATATTTAATTCATTACTGAGAAGAATTTGAAAATGTGAATACATAACATGAGCGTCTGAGTAGTGTTGTTTGACATTCTATTACCGTTGGTAGATCTCATCCTCGAGGCGTGGCCTAAGCACGGCCTCTAATGGCGTTGCTTACGGCATAGTCTCAAGGTTTCCTTGACAATGGAGGTATACCAAGTTTTTGATATCTGGTTCTTCTGGCCATCCTTTTGTTCCAACATGGAAATCAATCTCTTTATGTGCTTTTTTCCGTACTTCAATATGGTCAACTAGAAGAGAGAGTGCCCATGTCAAGATGACAGATGTTGTATATATCTATGTCAGCTAACATATGATTCTGCAAAGCACGGATTAGAAATTAGCAATTAGAAATGTAATTACCAAAAATGGAATTCTGCCATTAAGAATGCGCAGATGACGTATTAGAGGCCATGCACCACAGGGTTCAGGTGGTAAGTTTGTGTTTCTTTTGCGACTAATCAATAGGATTCTCCATAAGCTGTATAGAAGAACTATAGCTAGAAAACTTTGGATCGGTAGAACATTCATTTCGGGTTCTGCGTGGAGGAAGAAGTTCATCAGGTACATGCAAAAGTGCCTGGATTTGCCACTTATTTATATTGATCGATATGAAGCACCGGCAAATTGCTAATTAATATTCATAAATGGCATTCGACAATTGATTCTATTGCTCGTGGCTCTGCTTATATCATGTACATGAATTGTCATGCAGTAGCCAGCCCACCACAGATTCATTTTCATGTAGTAGCCACAATTGGATCTTTAATAATAGCTGCTAACATATAACAATGGAAAAATCTGTCGCTAAATGCCGAATTTCTAATAGTGCTATATTGTTTTTGGTCCAGTTCTAAAGCATATTATAACTTATGTTTAAATCTATATCTAGTAGTTCAGTTCACAAATGAAACTAAGATCAGATATAGAAGGACTAGAAAGCCAGTACCCTATTATGCATAAGCAGCTTTCAAAAACTCCGAAAAACAGCAAATCAAGCTGTACAAACTGGTGGAGAACACAATTTATTCATTAAAACATTCACACATGCTCTAACTTTGCATTTTGAAAGTAAAAGCCCTAATTCATTACATTGCTGCAGATCTCCATAATAAACATAAACTCCAGTAGCTTAGGCCATCCCACCGCTAGTAGCTGTCCTAATTATCTGAAAAAGAGCTGCAGGTCACACAAAGGAGTAAAGAGAAATTAAGGACCGGAAGCATAAACATCAACAAGAAGTTATAACTAATGCAGTGTAAAACACAATTCCGAAACACCACGACACCGATGTTGGATCTTTAACAATTATCCGAGATAAACATTGCTTTCAAACAGCCTCCCATCCCTTGATCATAAATGTCATGCTATGATAGCACTACACGTAGATTTTTGAAATATGCTTGGCTTTAGGTGGATGGATGGCAACAACAATTCATTCACCTTAACATTTCAGTTCTATAACAAGGAATTGCATTCCAGTCCATTTCGGAGTGTATTTTCAAAACTAATCGTTAACTAGATGGAGGTTTTAAACAAAGTTTACCAAAGATAACTTTCATTTGATGCAGTAGAAAACAAACTCCGGAAACTAAATGACACAAATTAAAGTGAAACATTTATCTAGAAATGTCAATAGAGTTGAATTTCAGAGGGGGTTGGGGGAAGAAGGACTAAAATCACCACACTATCTCTCTATCTCTCACTTCAAAAGTGACACATAAACTTCTTGAAGATGACAAGTATCACTAGTTATACATCAAAGTTCTTTGATTCCCAAGCCAACACTTGCTCACAAAAAAAAAAAAAAAAAAAAAAAAAAAGAAAAGAAAAGAAAAGAAAAACACCTCCAGAAATTGACTGCACAAAGCCTTAAACTTTCGAAATATGCAGACAGAATGAACAAAAATAATGGTAAATGTAATTGCAGACCTATGAAAATGTAATTTGCAGACCTATGAATTCTCATGGGTGGAAAACTAAGTTACAAATTCATATAAATAGAGCACGACAATGAGAGAGACAGGATTAAAGAGTTCAACATGGTGGAAAGAACATACACGACCCAATTACCACAAAGACAAAGAATCCAAGTAGTATTGGCCCAACTGGGTAGTCATATCCTTTCTTCGTCGTGGTTTCAGGGACAGATCCTCTCTTCATGATGTTCTTCTGAAACTTTGCCACTTTCCTCTCCGAAAGGCGCTTTGAAGTTGTCTGTCGAATCCAAATGAAAATCACAAGTTTCTATAAATCCTCTAACCGAGCAAAAAACACAAGTGAATTGACTATCAAAACTTTGACCATTAGACCCCATTCAACCAACAAACCACGGCAAACAAAACTGTAAAACTATGCCAAAATTACAATAAGAGATGAATAATTTTGCTGCAAAAGAGCTATCACAAACTTCTTTACATGCATTGTAGTCCCAACTTTTTTTTTCTTTTACATGCATCTATTAAGGGAAAAATGTAACAAAAAAAAAAAAAAACCCTGACCAATTTTAGCAAAAAGCAAAAAGATCCTCTAAAAACAAACCCTTTATTCAAGATTCAACAAAAAAGAGCCTTTTTTTCACATATTTTAGACCCAATATATCAACTAAACTTAAACAAATGATACTGATAGATCAAAAACGTGCAAAAAAAGATCATACCAAGTACATGCAACAAGATCATGAATCGAAATTTACAAGTAGTACAATTTAGAACAATCAACAATTTAAGAAAAAAAACAAAAAAAAAAACTTATTTTTTTCAATAAAAACCAAAATCAAACATGAAATAGAAAAAATCCACAGATATTTATCAACATAAAACACAGTAGAAAAGAAAACCAAAGAGGAGATATTTAATTACCATTGTTTTGGTCTCTCTGTCTGAGATGCAAGGGCTCCTCCGTGTTTTCTTGATTTTCTAACAAGACAAGAGAATAGTTGCTGCTGCTAGTTGATTTCGGAGGTGAAACGTGGAACCATGTGTCTCTTTCTTATAACTATTTTGTCTTTGACTCAAGACTTGTTGGTTTGGTAAGAAGGGACTGAAATGGAAATGTGGATTTTTTTTTTCTTACCTTAGTTTGGAATTTTAAAAAAATAAAAAATAAAAAATGAAAGATTAACTTACCATATTTCAACAGAAATTTTAATATTTTTTTAATAGTCAATATCTCAATCCATTCTTATTCTTAGTGAGATATATTTTAATATTTTTTATTAAGTCAAATTTATTCTTAAATATATGTTGATTTTTTAATTTATTCTTTTACCTTAGGTCAAAATCATTGAAATTATTCACATAATTTATACATAACTAATTTTTATTTTCAAAATATCTTTACAAATCAGTCAAATATAAAAATTTTATGTGCAAATCTTAAAATTAATTCTAATAGATTAACCTAAAAATATTACCAAAAGAATAGATTCGATATTTAACGTATATTCAAAGGTAAAATTGAATCTTTTATAAATATAGAGACAATTTGAAAAATTATATTATCATATAAAGGAAGATTAAGTTATTGTTGTTGTTGTTGTTGTTGTTATTATTTACAATTATGATGATTTGATCCTTCAAATGGTAACAAATTCCTCATATGTTTGGAAAGAAATACAATCCGTTTTTATTTATTTATTTTTTCCTTGAGTATTATTTATTTTATCATGCAAATCGTGTTGTTTTCTTTTGCAAATATAATTAATAATTTAATAAGCAATAGAAAAGAAGAAAGTTTGGTGAAAAAAACCTGAACGGTAGATAAAAGAAATGGAAATGCTTGAATGAAGTTGTAGGTCATCATCCATCATAACAGAGAGAGGCGCAATTAGTATCAAAAATCTGCTTTGACTCCTCAATTCTTTATGTATTAGTTGCTGATACAGGAGAAATTATTTTTTGGTTTGACAGGAGGGGATCAACTTCCCAAACCTGTTGAATTATACAAAAATGTGAACATAATTCAACAAAGGCATGTACATGAACTGAGGGAACATTTTTGTGGGGGAGAGAGAGAGATTACAAAGCCGCAATGCAATGGATTCTTTTATCTACCTAAAAGGCTTCTAGTATAGAAACATATACATGAGTAAGGAGGGTACAAATAACAAATCTGTTTACTCTATCAAAATTGGACTGTGTTGCAGAAGGAAATCCCACAACAAAATCTTCTGCGACGATGATGCGTGTTGTAAACAAGATCACGCCAATACCTTGGAGAGCCGAACCCAAGGATGATAACCTCATGAGAATTGCGCCTAGCTGTGCAGAGTGGAAAGAAGAGACTGGAAAGGGTTCACCAATTATGCAATTGAGCGGTTACCGTTTTCACCACAGGGTGATATTCTGTATGCATGTGTTTTTTAGCTTTCTCAGAACCGGGTTGTTCAAGCCACTCATCGTATAAGGATTTAACAAGAGGATTCTCAAAAGGATCTTTCACCAGAATCTACATGTTATAAAAAGAAAAAAAAATGTTAAACTATGGAAGCATAATTATGGAAAGATAAAAAGGACTCTAAAACAAGTATAGAGCACCCAGAGAGAACAGGCAAAGCATGTGCATGAAATAATCGCATTCAAAGGGGGAAAAGGTAACCTTCCCAGCTTAAGTGCATCCGAGACAGTTGGTTTCAACCATCAAAACAAAGACTGTACACCTAATGTAAGTTGCCTACAGACCATTAGCTTTTAACATCACTTTGGTATTCTACCATGTTCAGCAATCTCCAAAGAGATCTTGCATGATAAGTAATCAAAGACGCTACCAAAAAAAGTCAAGCCTGAGAAAAGGCTCAGCCACAGGATAGAAGAATTCAAATTCCTGAATATCAGCTTCCATATCTTCCTTTTGAGAACAGCTTTGATGGTAAGCATATCTCATAAGCACAGATACATAAGATCAAGAGCCACAAGCTTTAAACTGAAAGTTGCAAAAGGTGACGTGTTTGATCATACACGATGCCAAAACCACCAAACACGAATCTCTAGATTAAAAAAAAAAAAAGCCACAGACCAATCACAATATGCATAGCCCTACAAAAATATCTGCAATGTTAGTGAAACTCACATTTTCCATATAAATAGTTTCTAATGACTGAAGCAGCTCCTTTGGAGATTGTAGAGGCTTTGGCTTGATTTGACCACCGCCATTCAGGCAACCTTTAATCATAAAGCTTAGTTAGTAAAGCATGTGTCAAAATTCAAGTGAAAGCTGAATACCAATTAGATTAAACTGAAAGGCCCAATCATGTGAAATTAAATATAGGAAGGTAAAGAAAGAGACCTGATGGGCATGCCATGACCTCCACAAAATGATAATCACATTTTCCCATCTTGACTTTTCTTACAACATTTTGTAGGTTTTGAAAGCCATAACACAGAGCAAATTTCAGTACAACTTTTCCATCCACCTACAATAATGAAATATATATCACATCACAAGCAATAACCAGGTGTTATGGTATGAGCATAGAATTGCCAAGTATGTGTGAATAAGCCTCAAGGTACCCAACTAAGTTAAACAAGACAGAAAATTTAATCACATACATGTTCTTTTTTTTTTTTTTACCAAGTAGGGTTAGTATCCAATATGGAGCCTGTCTCCCATCAATGATGCATCATGAAAGAACTGTATACAAAAATGGACAACATGAAGACTTCTTACAAGAAATGTACCAGATTGGAGAAAGCATAACTTACTTCCAAAGTCACTTCACGGAAATCCATATTTCTCAGACTTTTGAAGGCCAAAGGGCCTTTAATTTCTCTTCCAAATAGCATTTTAGCAGCATTCCGAAACACAGTTTCAGCATAACCACCAGAACTTCCAGGCACTCCATACAGATAGCCTTCTTCACTAACATTTGACAGCCTGTAGAACAATCACCACATATTGTTTTTACATCAGCAACTCAACCACACATGAATAAAGGCTCAGAAGAATGGTTGTGGTTCATAGGACAGTACAGAATTCTTACATGTTATCTAGAGGAGAATCATCTAAGGTTTCAAAATCCACAGCTTTTAACTGCAATTTGACCCCAAGAAAAAGAAAGAATAAACATTAGTCACCTATCTTAGCAATGCGTTGGAAGGAAAAATAAAAAAAAATAAAAAAATAAAAAAATAAGGAAAGCAGAATTTAACAAGAAAGCATACATAACGAATTGGAGATCTCAATCTCACCTTTATCAAATCTAAGATTTCTCCAGTTGTCAAAACCGAATCAACCTCTGTAATGCTAAGACTATTTTTATTTGCATCTTCTTGTTCCACTTCAAAAACAAAGTCATCCCTTGCAGCCTCAAGCTTCTTATCATAACATGGCATCACGGTCACATGGTAAACCTCGTCCGGCCTATCAAGTATGTTTTCACCAATTACATAATTCAAGCATGCAGGAAATTGGAAAAGTAACTCAATTTTTCTTCATTCTTCCTAACTCTTTACATAAACAAAAATAACAGACTACAAGGTAACATCAACTATAATTAGTCTTTGGTCACTACAGGTTTTGCTTTAAATGCTGAGAGGTGGCGGACATTCAGATGCATTGAAGGTTCTGTTAATATGTTTTCACATCATCTTTATTGATTTTATTAGTGGTACCAAAGAGGGGTAGGGTTGACTAAAGAGGAGTTAAGGAGATTGGTCCCTTACTATGCACAAACGAAGACCAAGAATGCGTAATTAGATGATATTTTCATGACTATAATCTTAAATACTACTCTCGGTATAACTATTATAAGGCATTTGAAGATATAGGTTTGCTCACAAAATAGCATCAATTATTCCAACGATAAAATTTCTTAAAGACCTGCAACTCCTAACAAAATATGCTTCGCAAAATGAAGGTCAGGCAAGAACAGAAAAACATTAACTTGGATGGTTACCTGAGGCCCATTTTTTGGGAAATGTGATGCTTGATGGTAGCTCCAATTGTTTGTTGTGGGCTTTTCACAGAAGATATATAAGGCAGAATGTAAGATCCTAGTTGCTTTTCAGCATAGCATATCCAACCTGCAATTACAGACAAATATCAGCGATTATGAATCATAGAACCCTTCCTACCAGATCCCAACATTCCACAGCCCAGTACATAAGAACAGTTCAATACAGATTATGCTATTAGAAACATTCTTGACATGATTTTGTATATTAGCAGGGTGTTTTATTCATTTTTTATTCTCTTCCTATTCATTTTTCCTCTCTTTTATCAGGAATCCGAGAGACAATTTCTGAATTATAATAAGATAAGAAATTAACCTGGACAAGCTGAAGAAAGCATGGGTAAGGATGGATTATATTTTTCGTCATCATTAAACTGGCTCTGTTTGTATCGGGTAACAAACTCATTACAAGTCTCTATAAGTGTTAAGTCCCTGCTGGAACTTGTGTCAAATACAGCCTTCGCTCCCAAAGACTTAAAAAAAGTTGTGAGTTTCTTAAAAACCTGCAAATTCAAAATAACATGAGCCATTAGAATTTTTGCACAAACAAAACAAAACTACATATTATCTTATTGCATATCCTATCAAATAAAGCCCAGTGACCACCTGAAGGGGAGAGGTGCCAAAATAGACAGCGAGCGAAGCTCTAGACTGTGGAGACAGTGAGACAATGATAGCTTTTCCTTTATCAATATTGGATAAGAACTCATCCAAACTTTGCTTCTCAAGCATAATTGTCTCTGCTGATGTTATGCATCCACTGCAATATCACAACAAACCATTAATCCTAAACCTCTATGCAATCACTAAAAACTAACAACAAAAACACTTTTTAACCCTAAGCATCACAAAATTCCAAATTTCCACTAATCACACATTTTATCTTCACTAATGCTTAAACATCTCTAGTTCAAATCATAAACACCTAAACCCCCCACTAATGAACCCACTAAATAGCAATAAAAACATATTCTAAACAGTAAATATCATAAAAGTTTCAAAATTTCATTAATCCCATGTTCTTTTCCTTCATTAGTAACCAAATTTCCATAGCTTCATTAATAACTAAGCATCTCTACCTTAAATCATAAATATCAAAACCCCAACTTCTCACTGACTACTAATAAGAAACAGAATTTAAACACTAAATATAAAAAGATTTCCACAATCCCCTTAATCCCATATTTCATTTTACCTCCAATAACATCCCAAAATTTCCAAAATTCAGTAAAACCCCTGTTTTATTTTCCCTTCATTAACGAAAATCACAAATAAAAAACAGCAACTAAATGACACACAAAAAAAAACGAAAAAAGAGAGAGAGGAAAAAATCCCTTACCTGCAAGCCAAACAATCCTTAAGCGAAATTTTAACAGGGTCAGCTTGCTCTTTATAACCAATAGCAACCTTCAAAAAAACACCCAAATAAACAAAAATCAATAATTTCAGTAAAAAATTCCACAATTTTCACCAAGTTGAAAACTTTTAAGCTAAATTAACACTAATTAGCTAAAACTAAACTTCAAAATTTGCAGAAATACCTCAGGTTTGTCGCGTTTCTTAGCGTTAGATGTTGTCGTCTTCAGCCCTTTCAAAGAAACAACACAAGCTTGAGAAGGAGCTATAAAGTCACTCAGATCTCCAATTCTCAACGTCGGTGAGAATTTTTCCGACATATCGTTTACCCAATTAGGGTTTTTGATAATCCAAAGAGAGAAATCGAAGATCAAACACAGAACAAATTCCGATTAGGGTTTTTCAGAGAGAGAGATATGCTAATGAAACTTGGCGGTGTTTTGCCTGTTATTTGAGTTCTTAGGGGGAGAGAGAGAATGTTATTGTGTGGGCCGGTGTAGAATTAGTAGGTCGGTTGGCTTATAGGATGTGAAATATATGTGGAAAATGAAAGTCAATGATCTTACGTGTTAATGGTTGTTGAATATTTGCCTTTATGGCACGTGTCGACCACATGCCTCGTAGAATCTTCCATGTTCTTCATTTTCTTTTGTTTAGATTCCGCTTGTCCCAAAAAAGGAAAAAGAGTATATAAATATTCATTGGATAATTTTTAGTTTTTGTTTTCTTATTAAAATTTGTAGATTCCTTTCGGATCGGTTCCATTTTTTAAATTTTTATTCGATTTAAATCAAAATTGACTTTTTTTCTGATTTTTTAAGTTTTAAAATAATACACATAAAAAAAATCAATACTTTAATATTATTATAGATATATGATAGAATAATGATTTTTTTTACCTATTTATATTATATTTTTAAAGAAAATTAAAAAAAAAAGGTTTGGTTAGACCAAAAATCAAATTTTTGGTTTTGAACCAAAAAACTAAATAGTAATTTGGTTAAGGTTTTGTTTTCGTTTTCGTTTTGTCAATTTAATTAACCAAAAATTAGAGTGAAATTATTAAAAACCAAACTGAAAATAATAATAATAATAATAATAATGACTCTTAGGACATGTCTTTTTGGGAAATGTGTTGTAAAGATTTGAAAAGCTTGTCTGCTATATGGTAATTAACTACGAAAAACCAATTAACTATAATAATATTCCATGAATATTAACTATTCCAAGAGTATGGTAATTAAGTCATTAATTATAAGCAAGAACTTTGCCTTGAACCGAAAGCAGTGGCAATAATTCCCAATTTTATGGTCACCAGCAATAAGGTTGAGATCCATCTGAGACTCATCTATCAGGAACTTGGATACAATGAGTAAGCAACGATTGATATTCTTCTTTCGCCAATGATTCATTTTCATCATCAAGATTAATTTTAAGAACCACCTGTGTGTTCTTGATCTATTATTAAAGTAAGAATGGCAATCAATCGCATGCTCAATGATCTTAGAGTAGTACTCGTGCTCGTCTTCTCGTTTTGCATAATACCTCCCACCATACGGAAAAACCAATTAACTAGAGAGGATTTAACGTGTAACATTCCCAACATAAGATCTAATAGGTTGAGAATATTATCGTCGTTAATCCACATTTGAAGTGCAATAAATGTAAACTAACAAGACAATATGATCTTTTTATAACTTATATAAGTAAATTTACTCTACGAAAGTACTTTAATAAAGATTAGGTCCTATACTTTAATTAAAAAGTTATAAATTTTTTGCATCTAATCGATTTATTCACATTCTTTAAACTACCTTGTTGGGTTCATGACTATTTATTAATTTAATTCCTTTCTCAATTAACTATTGCAATTTATTTAGATATAATTCATTTTCATCAATATTATTATATTGCTTATTTTCTTTTCTATTTATTACTCTTTTTACTAATAAGTGCTTAAGAACTTAACCGAACTATCTAATGACGCTATCATGCAGTGGATAATTCAAACTAACTACGCTACTATCATTACACTACCATTTTACTATTACCGATTCAATTATATACATTCACTATTTACATACAACATCGATTTTATACCAACTACTACAAAATTGGCTTATTTACTACCACGCCATTGCTTGCTCTTATCCTTTCATTACCAACTCATAACTTTAACTATTATGTAAAAGAATACTAACATAGCCGTAAAGTAAACTAAAATACTCAATACAATAATTACTATCGTGTGAATAAGATCTAGACGCCAACCACATCCAACATATACGTAATGGGTGGACCTCTCGGTAGTCGACTCAATGGTCATAAACATCATCTTTATCTAAGATACCTATACCACGTACATATATGTAAGTATTAACTCGGTAAGTTAACTTATACATGTAGTGCATGTGCATGTATATACATGTATCAAACAATGATATATGCTCAATAAATCATTTTCCTTATGTCATAAAACATTTCATAAACAGATCGAAAATCATTTTTTGTCTTTAGACATGTTTCATTTAAGTACTTCGGGATTTTCATAACATATGTCCGGCGAACCGGACCCATCCATGGATACGCCCTACTAAGCCTCTAAAAGTGCACATTTGCACTTGCTCGGTCCCGAACCATTACCATTTTCATATGGAAACCCCATGAAGCTCATCCTCAAAATCATGAAAAAATTTTTCCTTTAAAATAATTCGATCGTTATCAAAAAATCATGACATAAAATACATTTTCATGACTTGAAACACCTTTCATAAACTTGGCATACTTATGCATTTTAAATGAAAATGCACACTAATTTTGATTGATAAATGTATGCCCTAAATGGTCATGAAGCCATGTCATGAAAATATGCATAAAATTGGATAGCATAACGGAATTAATAATATTACCTCATGTAAACCATTTCAATTGTCACATACCATACCATCACCATACGAATCATATCACATTAACATCACTCACCATTCAAAGAGCATAACTTCATAACCAACCACATTTCAATCATATACAATATTTGCAATCTAAACATAATAATTACCAATTGAAGCATCATCAAACATGAACAATTAAATAAAACAATTTAAATAAATCAAATGCTCCTTACTTGGCTGAATAGCCTACTAATATAGACTCGGTCATTTTATTTTCAATTTCTAACATCCATTATATTCCAATTTAACTAAATTAACCTAATTAGGTATTGTTTAATTAATCATGGGTACTACTTTTCTTACTCGGGCTCAATTTTAAACCAATTCTTAGTCCCAATTAAATTTTTACTATCCGATCACTCTTATTACACTATTCTAAGCTCAAATTAACCAATTCAAAGATTAAAATCTATTTAAAACTAAACTTTAAATTTTCACTTTAGGCCGAATACTCTCAAATTTAAAACCCTAAAATTTTCTTCTCATTTCATCCTACCATTTTAACTAAGTGGTCCAAACGCATGTTCATTATAAAAATCAATTTAATTGACATTTAGGGTACAAATTCTTACTCAAATCCATATTGGGCCTTAATGGGCCTAAATTGGGCCCGAGTCCATTTAACCAATGTTCTTCAATTCTCACCAAATTTTCCATTCCTCCACGTCCAAACATGCTCATTCAAGCACAAATTGACCATCAAACCATAAATTAAATGCCTAGAACTCAAACCCTAAAAATCCCTAATTAGGCCAAATGTTCCCTTTGAATTTTCATGAATTTTTCTTCAATTAAAATGTAATTTTTCATTTTTAAACATTAATTCAAATCTAATTAAGTCATATTCAAGTGCTAGAACTTCAACTACATAAAAAGATCAAAAACCTCCAAATTGGGTATTTAGGCTAAATAATACCCTTTAGAAAACTCTAGGAATTTTTTAGTTTTAAACCTCAATTTCAAGCCTAATTGACACAATTTAATCTTGATCGCATGATTTATAGGTTTAATTTGATTTTCCTCAAATTTTGATCATCAAGAACCTTAACCCTAATTTTTCATATTTCATGCAATTAAATTACAATTAAAGCAATTAAATATCAAATTGGCATGAAATTAAACTTGTTTGTGAGGTAGGTGAAGTTAACTTACATGATCAAGCTCCAAATTAACCTTGAAAAAGTAGGTTGCTGGAAAATTCTCTTCCTCCCCTTTTTCTTCCTAAATTTTTATTTTTTCCGCACCTCTATATGATGTATGATCCTTCACTTTCATTATCATACATATTCATGCTTTTTCAGCTATTTCTTTGTGTCCGTAGTTGTTTATTTTTTCTTGGTTTTCTTCGTTTACTCATTAGATAAATAAGTGAGTCAATAGTTTTAGGCATCTGAAGTAGAGACCACATATGGGCATGCATTTTTTTCTTGGATTTAGGAATTTGGTTTGAGCAGAAGACTTATTCTCTATCCATCATTTTATTTTTTGCTCGTTCCAGAAGGAAAAAAAGAAAAAGAAAAAGAACTCATTTTCGGTGGAGGAAAGTTCAAATCTTTGAAACCCATAGTGGTATTTTCCAATGACCAAATTGTCATCTTCAAAAGATACAATGAATGTTTTTATAGTGCTTATAGATGAGTTAGGAGTGGTAAGTGCAGGATTATAAAACATGAATTGGTATTGAAAGATGGTAATTCTTATTGACTAGGTTTACAATTTGAAATTTAATGTTATTAGCAATTGGAGGAGAATTTCAGAACATTGGATATGTTTACTACCCTTATTTGAATACGGAATAAACTCTTTTGAAAACTTTCAAGCTTTGGTCATATACTCTTACAAGATGTCAAGATCAGGGCAAAGCATGAACAGATCACAGTGGCAATGTCAGACCGAAATCGTCCTTTAATGGAGGTGGCTTAACCTTATTTGATTCTTGATGATTAGAGCTTGAAGCTACGTCACAGTCCTTTGTTGTTGGTTTTCTATTCAGATCAAAAACTCTTCCTTTGTTACTCTTTGGCCATATCTCGTCATGTTTCTTGCTGTCATTAGTGTTAATCAGACTGAAAATATCTTTCGTCTAAGGCTCCTTCGATTCTTCCCTCATTTGAATTATGATTGGAAAGACTTGGGGTTGCTTACTTCATGCACGCAGAATCTTGACCATCAGCAAAATATATTTAGAAGATCGCAAATTCTATTGAGGTTTTTTCAAGTTAAGCGGTTACTATGCCTATATGAGATTTAAATCAGTTTTAGAAGCCTTTTTAAGGTAAGTGATTACTATGCCTATATGAGATTTAAATGGAAATTTAGAGAGGAAATTAATGGTTTTTCTTGCTGATAGTACATTCTGCAGGTTGTTGCAGTAATGTCTTCTTTAAAAGAACTGGAGGGATTTCCTGGTAAAAGTAATTCCCTTTTGTTCTCATCATAATCACAAGTCCTCAAAAGAACATTAACACAGTTGAACTAGAGATAGAGGATGCATGCTTAAGACGCAAATCTATAGATGTATCCACATAACACAACATTGATTTATTGTCGGCACTGACATGACAAAGCATACACTATTTCTCTTCAACATCATCACATATCTAACAAATGGCCACCATATTACAGAAAATTCCGGGCCACCAAATTACAGAACATTCCGAATTACATATATGTATGGTAGAGCAGGCACAACGACTAGAAACAGTGGTTCTGAGAATCTACCACCTCGCACCGTCCTTGCCTTTGCCGCCGCCATACAAGCGGAAGAGGCTGAAAGCAGAGATGCAAGACAAGACAACCATGCTAACACTGACCAACAGCGCGCTTGCTAATCCCTCGCCAACTTGGTTACAGAATTTTCCATACATGTTGCAGATCTTCATCCATTGTAGATCAGGCTCTCCCAACTTTGCAAATGCTGCCGATTGTGCAGCAGCTGCCACTGCAGACAAAGTCAGGTATGCCATCATCTGCACAAACAAGTTCGTGCGGAAACATTACGTGGTTATATCAACATGTTCTGACCTCATACTTTTCCATGGACATTGCAACATCTATTTCTTCCCAACTCAGCGTCAAAGATTTCCAAGTTTTTCAATCAAAGTTAAAACTATTATTGAGAGCATCAAATAGAACAAATGAAAAAACAACTCATTCTGAATATTTTAATGATTACTGTTTCTATTTGAATGAATTTTATATTTGAAAGGGCTTCATAAGAAAACAAGCACTCAAATTTCTTTAAATCCATCAAAGCAATTTCACCGAAGAAAACTCCTAACAAAACTGCCTAACTAATTTTCCAAGGTTATAACTTCTTTAATGCCAAATGTTTCACTAATTGTAGAACATACCATCGTTCATCATGAAATCAATGTCTTTGTTATAGGTTGATCCTTCCATGGAACAAAATATGATCAGAGTATCTCTGAGACTACTTATGCATATGCTTCTCATCCTAATCTTGATGGCTTCATGCATGAGGAAACCCATGAAATATCATCACCAAGAGCTAGGTTTAAGCATAAATGCCAATTCATGTGTGCCTAGTTGACTGCTGGACAAATCCATTGTATCCTAATACACGGGGTTTCCCGTAGCTTATCAATACTACTTCTAGGATCACTTTCAAGATGGTTGTGGATTGTCTGTGTTAACCCAGGAATGCTGGAGTAATCAAGATCCTACTCCAATATTTAAGAGCCCTTCCCTACTTCAAAACAAAATTATTTTATATCTCGGAAAAATTGCCCGCCAGCAATGGTCTGAAATAATCATCAGATATAAGCCCAGCAATTATTCAGAACATTTAATTTTCACCACCTAGTATACCAACTGCTGAAAGGTACGAATGCTCTCGGGGGTATAATCCTCTTCATTCCATTTCTACAGAGCTTGGCCTCACCAATTTTTTTATTGAATGCATGTCACATGGTAGGTAGATATTAATCCTAACCAACTATGCATAACAAACACAATTCACCTCATGAATCCAATGCACTTAACTCAGGTTTTCATGTAGCATACGCCTGGGAAACGCAGTTAAACATGGCATCTGTCGATACAGAACAGAAAGACCTATAGTAAAGAAATGGGGAGGAATTTCACCCACGACTGGGACCACAGACATTAATGAAGGTCAGTGACAGCAAGCATAAGGCACCGCTGTAATCTGTAATCAATTCTCCTCCCTCTCAAGGAAGGTTGACAGCCTCAATTGTTTTATTCCGATTGTAAATTAACCAAACCTTACTGAACAAACACTAACATTTAAATCCGAAAACCAGACCCTTTTACCTGTTCAAAACATGTCATACTTAAACGTGCAACTGCAAATTAACTAAACCACAGTGAACTAGTATTAACATCTAAATCCCAAAATCAGACCCCTTATTAGCTGTTCAATTCAAATCACGTGATACCCCAAAACATTAAGTTCAGCTTGACCGCGTCATAACAAACGAGAAATGATTTCCTACAACAAGTTATGAAATGCCTTCCTCTAGCAGATCACGTGATTCCACCGATCACTTCATAGTCCTAATAAAGGATGGTGTTGCATTGAATGAACTTTAGGTGGGAATCTGGCAGCCATTACTGCTAGGGATCGTTTTTGACATGCCGGTCAAGGAATGAAGAATCAACTGGTGCTCTTATGTGTTTCAGGCTTTCAGCTCTCCCAAAAATTAAATGTTGTTTTTACTCTCACACCAACCACCTTATATAAGCACACACTAATTCTAACTAACACATCAAATGCAAACAACTGCATCAACAATATTAACTCTTAAGGTTAAGGTTAAGGTTATTTTGACAAATTTTACTAATCTAGGCAAAAGTTTTGAAATTTTTTGAAAAATTAGTTAGAGATTTGTTTAACTGAACTAGTAAATGGTAAATTAACAAGAAAAGCCAATAGAATAGCACAATATAGATGAAGGCATTAATGCTCTTTGTCAGGTTGCCCACCTAATCTGAAAACAACATGAAACTGGGGCAAGAGTTAAGAACATCCCATGAGAAAGTAGTTAATTATGAGTGTAGAACATAAACCTGGTACTAGTGAACAACACAAAAAAGGGTTCTAATTTTTCATGCAAATCAGTATTTAAATCTCTAACCTAAATCCCACCATGCCCAAAGAAATACCAATAAAAAATATGGAAATCAATACCTGATCACCAGAGAAAATAGCCCAAGCTAAGGGCTTGCTAAACAGAACACTTCCTTTAACCATGCCCAAAACACAGCGCACCCCTTGTACCAATGAATAGGCTGCTGCTATCCCATTAGCTACCACCAAAAAGCTGCATCAAAACAAAACCAAACTTCATAAACTCATCAGGAAACAGAAAGGTTGAATCTTTGGAACCATTTTTCAATAAAGTGAGAAAATTTGGTACCATTTTGAATGAAGAACGAAAATGAAACGGAAAGAAAGAATCTTTGGAACCATTTTTGAATGAAAATTGAAAAGAGGGGTTGATCAAAATCTTACACAAGAGCTTTCATGTCAGTGAATCTAGCTTTCTTTTGAATTGAAAAGATTTCTTTAACTTGAGTATCTGTACTAACAAGAACAGCAGCAAGAACTCCTAAACCACAGATCACACACCTCAAAACCAACTCTGCTAGCCTCACTCTCCTATCAATAACCTTCAAGTTAGTGCCATGATACACTGGTACATTCCCAGGACTAACACCAACACCTAAATAACTCATCTTTTTCTTTCTCAAAGAAGAAGAGTTAACTGAAGACTGCCCAGGAGATAGTAATCAACCCTTTAAGGCTCCCACATCCCAGACTCACAACTAACAAGCTCCACTACCTTAAATAGACAGCCCCACGACAACCTTATGGTGCATGTTTTCCTTTTTAAAATAAAAAAATTATATATATATTTGTGTAGTATTTAATAGACCTCGCGGACCATTTGGAGCCAGTCACATCAATTTTCAGATGGCAGCTCGCTTGTTCTTTTAGAAGGGAAAAAAAAAAAAAAGGCTTCATTTTTTATGGTACACGAAAATTAGAAATGGTACGAACTGTCTAAACATAGTACTTGAACTCTAACATCTTTCCATTTCTTAAATTATGTCTTTACCACTTATATTAATCATTACAATTTTAGTGTAATAAGTTACTTTAATTCATATTATCCACATCGTTTGTTTGAGATTTAATGAAGGAAGTAAGGATTTTTTTTTTTTAATTAACATGTCCATATCAGTGTAGATATATGTTTATATGAGCAGGGATGAGTTAGATCAGATTAGTAGGAAAAAAATTTCGGATGTGTTAAATTAGTTGAATAGATGAAAATTAGTTTGAGAATGGTTAATAAGTTAAAAAAAAAAAAAACACTGAACTAAATTGTCGTTGAGAATTAATTTTTTAATTTTTTTTAATTTTAGATTTTTTTCAACGATTTTTCATTTGAGATTAATTTTTTTATTAAGCTTTTATCAATTTTAACGATAGAACCGTTAATGATTTGCTTATGGTTTTTTTTCAACAATTAAAAATGTTACACAACCTAAAAAGCTTTATTTTTTATTTTTTTCAAAATTTATTCTTTTCTAAAATATTCTTTGACCGATCACAAGAAAAAAATTAAGTTTGGAAAGAAATAAAAAAATTATAAATTTTTATATATTTTTAACTATTAAAAAATTAAACTTATGCGATAAGATTGATGAAAATCTAAACAAAAAATTCAAATAAAAAATAATTAAAAATTAAACAATCGATTCTCGGATTATTAAAAGTTTCATGGCAAGTTCTGATCATATAGAAAGGTGGTAAAGATATGAAGATGCCAAGTGGTCAAAGGAAAGGCATGAGCCGTACAGAAACCAGTAGAAAGAGCATTGAATACGGTCCGGACAGAATTTAAGGGCAATGTGAAAAGGTGGAAAAAAGGTGAGACTGCCCTTCTGGGAAGAGGCAAAAGTTGCTTGTCCCAAGGGAAAAGGGTCAGATTAAGGGGTGAGGCCCATCTTAATTTCTCTCTGTACAAAGTATTGAATGAAGGAAGAGGGTCATGATATGATTTTATGATGGCCCATTTCTTTGTTTCAATCCACTATGTACCACAAAGAACAAAATGGATACTACTTTTATTCTTGATATTTTCTTAATATAATTCATCTATTTTATTTATTTAATTATCACATTTCTCTATTCTAGGTGTTTTCTTAATACGACATTTTTCATAAAAATTTTATTTAATTTTCTCATAACTATTGACAAATAGTGTTTAACATCGATAAAAATACCATGTAGAATAATACGTCATGTGAAATTAACAAGTTACAAAACAAGTAAAAAAATAAAAATTAACAAAAAGAAGCATGTCAATTTCATATAATGTGTTATTTCACGTGACATTTCTATTTGATGTAAAATGTCACTTTTTACTTAATTCGTTTCTCCAAGTAACTAGTGACAAGTGGCATTTAAAGTCGGATAAAAATACTATGTGGAATGATACATCATGTGAAATTAACAAACGGAAAAAATAAAAAAGCACAACAAAAATCAATAGAAATTAACAAATGAAACTTTATATCTATAATATGTCAATTTTATATAATGTGTTATTTTCAAAGGGCATTTCTATTTGATGTAGTAAGTGACTGCTTGCTTAATTCAATTTTTCGATAATTAGTGACGAGTGATATTTAACATCAAATGAAAGTACTATGTAGAATGATACGTCATATGAAATTAACAAGTAGTAAAATTTTAAAAAAAAATCAATAGAAATTAAAAAAACAAAACTTTTTATACACATCAATTTCATATAATGTGTTATTTCACGTGACATTTATATCTAACGTAGAATGTCAATTATTATTGAAAAAATTGGACAAAATTCTATGAGAAGGACCATATTTAAAAAAAAAAGTTTTATAATAGGACATGATAAATATATATATAAAAAAAATAGAGGAATAAATTATGTGATTAACTCAATAGTATACATTTGTGCTTGTAAAATAATTAAGTTAAATCTGAATAAAAAAAGATTCAAAAAGGGTAAAGCTGATCAAATGATTAAAGTGGCATACTTGGCAAGAGTTTTTTTGATTTGGTGGTGGATCATTGTGGGGTGGTAGGTTTAGGATGTGGGTTGGTTTCACATGTAATTATGATGAGTTTGAAAATTAACTTATTATTATTGTTGTTGTTTGACTAGTGGGTTTGGATATCCTACCTTGAATTCATCAAGTCATCTAATTGTAATGATTTTTTTTTCAATAAAGGTAAAAAATAAAGATTTCATTCAATTATAAATAAGGTTACATAATTACATCGGTAATAAAGGTATTATGAAGTCTATAGTTTGTATTCAAATGGTATTGTTTTTTAATTTTTCTAGAAGTTTATGGAATTTTAAGTGAAAAAAATTACGTGTACTAATATAATTAACAGAAGCTTTAATTATTTTTTTTATCTAATATTAAAAGAACATATTAAAAAGTATAAAATTGATACAATAAGCCTTTAAAAAAAATTACAAAATACCTACTCATTAAATTAAACCTTCAATTGTACACTCTAATAGTATTTTTGGACTACCTTACATGAAAAATATTAAAATCGTTATTTAATCAGAATGAAATGATAATAGCAATAAGTAGAGCTCATCATGAATGGTTATCGAGTTCTTCTTTTAATAACTAAGGTCAACAATGGTGCCAGAAGTAACCCTTTTGGATGATGCCAACTACTTAATTCCACTAAGAGGAGCAAGAGCAACAACTTCCACTCACTTCGTAAAGTTTCTGAACTTTTTTTTACACTATAGAGACTTTTTGTCTGAGCTTGCAGCCAAATTGCCTTCACTGATCTCCCTCTTATTGAAATACCGAAACTAAATCAATATATTTATACCATTAATTAAATTTGAGTATAATTTATAGAGTTCTCAACCCCTCCCCCCAAAAAAAAAAAAGCAAAAATTTAAATTTGCAACAACTCTATTAGTATTATTGTTACAAATAATATAAATTATATTCTACAATTTTACTTAATAATTTAAAATTTTTAATTGAAATGGTTATTAATATGGTATTAAAAATTTGACGATCAAATAATTACGAATTAAAATCCCACTATCTTCATTTTCTAAATTAAACAATTAAACACAAGATAATAGTAGGTTTGTACAAATTTTAAGTCCGTCTAAAAGATTTTTATTTAAAAAAAATACGTTAGAGAATAATATAAAATATGTTTTGAGAATTCGTCTAGTAATTTAAACTTTTGAGTTGAAATGATTTTTTTAACAAGTATTAGTATTTTTATTCTCATCGAGATATTTTAAATTCAATTTTCTTCTTTATAAGAACAATAAAAAAAAAAAATTAAAACCTTAAAAGAAGGTTTGTGAGAAAAAAAATCTTATAAATGTAGCAATCCACATATAAATGTTTAAAATCTGACCAAGAGAAATATAATTTTAATGCATAAAAATTGAATTGTTAAAAAAGATTTATATAACCTATATTGGCGCAATTTTTTCTTGGAGCATTTGGGATATCCATTAACGTGGGAATTGGGAGGCGTGTTGAGCTAGAAGATACGTTTTGAATGTCTGTGGGAATTCAATGGAAGGAAATGGTGAGGTCATTGTCGCCTTGCCCACACTTCTGCCAAAATTCTACGTATCTATGATGTGGGCAATGCGAAACCCTACCCTTGCCAGCTAACTCGCCATTTATATATCTTTCTTCTTCTTTTTTCCCCGGATTCTCAAGATATTCTAAACAAAAAAAATCTTGACTAACCATTTATTGTTACATCAAATATAATTATTTAAAGAGTCTTCAATATATATAAAAACTCAAAATCAAAATCACTTACTTAAGTAGTTATAGTTTTTTCCACTCAAGTTAAACTTGTTGAGTTCCGTTTGCATATCTTTGATTATATATTATAACTGTGACAGTGATAAAACTCCTTATAAATCTATATCTTGCTAAATGCATATATGTTAAGCATTTTAAAATTGAGATTTAACGTCATTAGTTCAAAATCTTAATGAAATTATATAACAATAACAAAAGTAAACGTTGAAAGATGAAATTAAAAAAGAAGAAGTAAGGAGACCATTTAAAAACAAAATCAAGAATAAAAAGATCTTTCCAAGCAGTAATTTATTGCAGTCTTATTGTATAAAAAAACAACAAACTTCATAATTTTTAACTGTAATAGCTTTAATGTTGAATAAAAAATATTCAAACTAAGCTTTTGTTTACCATATTAACATACGTAATTTATTCCAGCCAAAATTTCGTCAATATTTGACGTCGTAGGAGAAAAATATTGACAATAAAGATTATAATTTCTTGTCACATCAGATGTTATTGGAATCTTAGTCGAAAACAATCACGCGTATTAATATAGTTAACGAAGTTTAATTTGTGTATTTTCTATTTAATATTAAAAAAACATGCTAATATGATTAAAAAGTATAGAATTTCTATTATTTATTTTTGATATGATAAGCTTTTATTATAAATGTGATAGTGATGAAACTCCCAGTGTATACATCTCTCTTATAAATGCATATTTGATAAGTTAACATTTTATCTTATCTTTTGGCATTCATATATATATGGCTATTTACTTCACCTTTCAATCTTGCCTAGCTAGGCTAAATCTTCTCCATGTGATAAAGAGATAGCCCGGTGATCAAGGAATTTAATGGGAGCTTCGCCATGGCAGCCCAACTTGTTGCCAGTTGAGAAGAAGAAAAATTAGCCACATCTATGTATTACTGAGGTAGAATTTATAGAGGGTGGCATTTACTTTTAGGATACAGCAATGTGTTGCAGGCCCATACTAGAATGGAGAATCAGATTCAGACTCTTTATTGGCCAATTTACGAGGTCTATTAAATTTCTCAATATCTAAAATTCATAGGTTTTTTGAGATTTGAAATTTGCATAGGATGTATTTTTTGTGCGAATCCTTTAGATACAATGTGGATGATCTGTTTCTAATCTAAAGCATTAGAGAAAAATTTCATTTCAATATGCTGGTCGAGAAAGCTTTACTATAGTTTTAAATAATAATGATTGTTATATACGATAACGATCATTATTTAACAAAATTGGTTACCACTGTTATCGTTTTTTTCTGTTTTACATGACATAACTCTCATTTATAAAAATAACAATGATAATAACAATATTATATAACGATAATTGTTTTTATTGTAGTTATTTAGTGTATAACGATCAAAATAACATTTTTTATATTATTGTTTTTTAATTTTTTTGATTATTTGCTGTAAAATAAATATATTAATAATCATTAATATATCAATAATATTAATTGTTTGATTATTATTTTATCATTGAAACTTGCAATCGCTATCGTAATCATTTTTACAATTGCATTTGTGATTTAAAATTATGTAACCAACTTTCAATATATAAAACACGTACTTGGATAGGATATATTTCCTTGTGATATATAAACATCATCAAGTAAAATAATGTAAGGTCAGATCAATATCATATTCCTTTCCTAAAGGTAAGAAGAAGATCAACGTTGGACATAATTTGAATGCAACAAGTATCAAACTATTCTCTAAAAGGGGGAAAAGAAGAGCAATAATTATGATTTATTCAAATAACAACAATAACAATGTTATATAATGATAATTGTCTTTATTGCTGTTATTTACTGCATAAGTATCCAAATAATGACTTTTATATTATTGTTTTTTTTAAAAAATATTTTTGATTATTTGTTTCAGAATAAATTTATTAAGAGTTTTAATACATTTATAATATTGATTGTCGTGATTGTTATTACTGTCATAATTTGCGATTATGCATCAGATATAAATAATCGTAAGAAGTTCATATCAATATCATGTTACTTTCCTAAAAGTCACAAGAAGATCAATGTGGGACATCATTTGAATGCAGCAAGCAACGAACTTTTCTCTAAAGGGAAAAAGAAAGCAATAATCCAAAACTAGTAATAGGAAACTGTCGTTTTAAGACCAAAACTAATTTAGATTGCTGGCATCATTGTCATGAAATAATCCACACATTTGATCCAAAAGCTCCAATTCCTTGATTTGTTTGAGTCAAGGAAGATACTCAAACTTGCAAGAGTGATGACCTGCCATGAGAAATTAACCACAGAAAGATATGTAAATTTCTTTTTTAGCACTACATGATTTTAAAAAATTGTTCCTTAAAGATAATTTGGAAGGAAAATAAATAAGGACATTTGAGATTAATATTTCAAATTATCCATGCAACTCGAGTAAATTATAAATTAGTCTCTCTAATTTTGAGAAATGAATTAATTAATCTATTTTGTTTCAAAAACTAATTATTTAGTATTTTAACTAGTACCGACTACGTTTAATTAACATTATTTATTTTTTTTAAAAAAAGTCATTAACTCTTCTTTATTTTTTACTTATTTTTTTCTTTTTTAAAACAAAAGGATCAAAATAAATTGATTACAAACAAATTTAAGAACATAGAAACTAAATAATTGTTTTTTAAAAACAAAGAGGACTAATTGATTCTTTTGTTGAAACCAGAGGAATTTATTTATAATTTACTCATGCAACTTTATACAAAAAAAAAAGAAGAAGAAGAAGAAGAAGAAGAAGTAAACCTCAGATTAGTACCTCAAAATCCACTTATTCTCAAATGGGTACAAAACTATTAATTTTCTCAATTAGATCCCTAAACTATAAGATATTTCTCAATTGTGTCCCTCCATCTAGATCTATTAATGTTCTACGTCTAGACTGCTCATATTATGAAGTGAAACAATGCTATTTTGCTTAAAATGTCTTGAAGGAAAGACCCAATTGAGAAATTTAATTATGATACTTTAGGGATCCAATTGAGAATATTGAAAGCCCGTGAACTACATTATACGGTGAAACGATGCTATTTTGCTTAAAATATCTTGAAGGGAAGACCCAATTGAGAAATTTAATTATACCATCTAGGGATTCAATTGAGAACATTGAAAGCTCAGGAAGTACATCGAGTATAAGTTCATAGTTGGAGGACTAATTTGAGATTTTCCCTTAGAAAAATTATCTTACTTGGATCAAGATCAGTGATGAGAGCAGCAGCATTGAAGTAACAAGTTGCGCCTATATGCTTAAACTTCTGATAATAATTATTGAAGGCATAAGAGGCATGATCTCTTATTGTGTTTGGCAGATAACAAGGTTGATTCGTTTGTTTTATCTTGCTGCAATCTGCACCTCCCTTTCCACAGGCCCAATCCATGGCCCTTTGCAGCTCATCATCTGGGGTTTGCTCATCAGCTATGCACCATTCCTCAAATTGACCCTCTACATGAAAAAACACCAAAAATTCACGGTTAAAATGGACTCAAATCAATCTAAAAAATGGAAAAAGAAAAGGAAAAAGATAGTTCAGATTACTATATTACCTGATTTTTGTGGCATTAAAGCAGTGAAGAACAAAGCTAGGAGAAGAATCCTTAGAGAAATTGGTGACATGATGCCAGGAACTTGTATGGATCCTTTGAATGCAAATCCATATGGCCACAAACAGTTGAATATAAGAACATCAAAGAAGATATCCACTTTTTACAAAGTTGAGATTCCAATCTATGTAGCTTTCTTGGGTCTTACGGCAAGAATTCAGGTTTCGTTTAGAATACCTAAATTACCCTGGATTTCTTTTTCCTTTTGCAATTCTTGTTACATATCCTGCACTCTGCAGTACTTTCTTCAGTATTAATATGACAAAGGATTAACAGGGTTCATGGCCACCATCAAAGGTTGTAAATGGAGTGGTGAGAAGACCGTTTCCGATTCATTCTTACCATTGAAAAGCTCCTTTTTTTTATAACTTTGTGTGACACTGAATAAAGACAGTTGGTGGGTTCAAAGTATCTGATTGATTAGGCCATATTTTAATGGCCAGCAAGTTGCTAGCTAGCTAGGTTTTAGTGATTCAATGATGATCTGGGTAGCTTATTGGGACTTTGCATGAAACATTTAACCAAAACTTACACCATATTCAGATGGAAATTTAAATATTTTGTAGGTTTGTTTTGTCATAGAATGAAAAATACAAGGGCAAGATTGGTCTTTTGTTCAAAAAGCTACAGGTATGTAACGTGCAATGAGCCTTTAGCTAACATCTTTCGTCATGTGAACAGAAAGATGCTTATATTGGTGAAGCAAAATAAGTAAAAGTGAAAAGAAGGCAATTATAGGCAATTCTCTCTTTGGAATTCCTGTCAAGTTCTTTTGCCAACTGAACTTTAACCTTCTAGAGCTGTCAAACTTGAAAAAAATTCATCAGATCATTCTGTTTTTGTATCACAGGAATGATGTGAATCATAGATATTCCAACCTTTTGCTTTAAAATCAACTTACCTGGTTGTTGGCTGAGATCCAGGCAAATCGCATGCAGAAATAAGATCATCTCTTTATTGGTGCCCATTTGGTACAGGGAAGGTACTGCAACATTAAATTTTAATTTCCATGTTAAGCACTTGACTCATGTATAATCTACTTTCAAACTAATCTGTGATATGAATTTCTTGAAATACCCCACTTGGGGCCAGGCAGCTCCAGCAGGATCAGTCCCATCTCCACTTCTGCAAACTCTCTGATCAATCTCAAATGGATCTTTCTATTTTGTTCATCCTTGTTTCTCTCTTCACAGTCTCTCAATCACAGCCTACCACTCACACTCTCAACCTCACTGATATAGAAGCAACAATAACTGACGTTAGGTCACAGAATTTCTTTGGATTTGCAATGCTGCTGCAGATCCTGAAAGGTGCATTAGTGCACAAGTATCAGGACTTGACTTTCTTCATTCCAATTGATCAAGAACTGACCAGGCACTCAATTTCACCGGACCACCTTGAAAACTTCTTGCTCAGCCACTCAATCCCAATGCCACTCACATTCTCTGACTTGAATCATTTTCCTACAGGGACCATGGTTCCATCAGGGCTTGAGCATCAGCTGATCCAAATCAAAAACCGTGGGAAAGCAGATTTTTCTGTTAACAATGCCAAAGTCATAAAGCCAAACCTTTGCTTAAATTCTACAATCAAGTGCCATGGAATTGATTCAGTAATCAAGTTTGAAAATGATTACTCAATCAATAATAAACTAGATGACATTCCAGGGTTTAGAAACTAGATGTAACCAATTCATGTAGTGGTGTTCTATGCAGCTAAGTGTAGCATCAAAAACTCTGAATACCTTTCTCTCGTTGCTTCTTTTATGCTATTACGTTGTGTTTCTATAATGGACAGCAAGGTTAAAGTTACCCCAAAATTTAAACTAATTCTCGAAGATGATCTATTGCTGATTGGAGTCTTTAAAGAGCAGTATCATTAGGGAAGAAGGATTATCATAGAACAATTTTCAATGCCTCATCGACCACAGTTAACTGCCATGGTTTTATCAGGCCTAACCTTGATGTGGACTTGAAAAGTGCTTTGCCTTGCATCCCTCTAAGATGTTCTTCAATGATTCTTGATTACTGCTTCCAATAATACTCATTTTAACTTTCAAAAAGTATCAGGAAAGTCCTTAATTAATTTATCTATGCAATACTATTAGTTTCTGTAAAGGGTCACAACAATCTGACTCAACAAGGACTCGATTAGTTTGAAGTTTGAACACTTGAGAGCAATGTTTTAGATTTGATACCTCAGTAATGACTATATATTATATTTGTATACATCCACAGAAATCTTGTTTCGCAGATGATCACTAGATGCAGTTCGGTGTTATAAGGATCTTGCCACCTTACAGTCTATCGAAAATCATTAAAATAATCTTCTATCATTTTCATTTGTCTGATATTTGTAATTAAGTTTCCAATTCCTGTTTCCTGGAACTTGCTTCATTCAATCAGAAATGTGAGCCGATAATGATTTGCGAAAGCTGGACAAGGCCAACAATTAACTTCTCCTAGTAGATCATGAACTAAATCAAAATAAACTCTGCTTTATTTCTAGCAGAAGAAACCAACCAGACTTTGACAGCATATGACAAATTAAGATATCAATCGTTAGACACCTTGCATAGTGGAAGAAACACTCACAAATTGACCTTTTGTTAGAAGATGCATAGAAATTTCTTTATCTTGAGGTCTATATAGAGTTGCCTTACTCTACCTTGAACTCCACCATAATCATTAGGCTAACCCTTTCCAAAAATGCTTTCTTCTGATCAAGTACATTGATTTCCATGTTTTCTCATTCTTTGATTTGTAGGAAATCATTCTTCCAATCAACTGCTAGGTTGTCTTCTCCATGGTCCAAATAAAACTGTAAGGTTCGCTCTGAACTTTACAGTTAACCATAGATTTACCTTTGCACATTTTTGCATCTTCCTTTCATTATATACTGCCAAATACTATGAACCATCATGATCCCAATGCCCCATTTGATGGGAACAATCCAGCAAAAAGACGTTGGCGTCAGCTTTTTCTCATCTTTCTGGCAAAAGGAGGTTTCAACTCAATCATAAACAAGACTGAGATAAAGTCTCATGATTGTGAAAATCTGCTTGCAACTCAGGCCAACACTTCTGCTCCTATCATTCAGGAAGGAAGTGCTGGACTGTCACCTACTGTTTCCAGTGTTTCACCAAATCAGATCCAACCTGATGGTGGTGAGCATCAATTTCCTGCGGAAGACATTGCAAGAATTGTCAGGGAGAAGTACCAAGAGGAAAGATAAGCATTCTGTGGCATCAATTACTTTATTGCTGGTGGGAATGCAGGAAGAGTTGCCATTTCTCATGGCGCTTTGTGTTGCTTATTGGAAAAGGAAGATTATGTCAGGTGGAGGTAAGGGAATAGTGCAGAAATCCTCTGCTTGTCTTACCATGGGCTTTGCCACAACAATCTGCACTGACCTGGCTAGGAAGACGGTATCACAAGATGATCCTTTTGGTCTTCATATTGCAGAACTTGAAGAGACAATAAGGGCAATAGAAGATTGCAAGACTGCTGGAGTAACTGTGAAACTCATATCAGAAGATGATGTGCCAGTGGTGAGAGCTGCAGCGATTGAATTTGGAATGCTCACAGAAAATTCTGAGGCATCGGTGCTTAAAGGCAAAGACTTTCAAAATTGCACCGAAGAAGAGAGGATAGGAATGGTGGATCAGATCACTGCAATAGGCAACTGTCTCCAATCTGATAAGCTTCTTCTTGTGCAGTGCTTGAGGAAGAAAGGAAATATGGTTGCACTGATTGGAGCTAATAATCTTCATGACAATCCAGCATTGATACAAGCAGAGATTGGCTTTGTAAAGGCAGAATGGGGCACAAAAATGGCAAGAGACTACTTAGACCTCATGTTATGGGATGGAAGTTGGAGCCTATTACCGAACATCATAAAGTGCAGTCAATGTGCATACGAAAACATTCAGAAATTCATTCAACTAGAGCTAAACATGATCGTTTCCGGGTTATCAACAACTACCATCTTAACATATCATTAGGAGAAGCTCTTATGACACCAATTCAGTTATCCTGGACTAAATTGATTGTGCCGATCCTCGGCAGCGTGGCGGTGATCACTGAACCATCTGGAGAAAAAACTAATGAACAAGCCTCCAGTTCAGAAAACAGAACCACTTATGACCAAGGCCAAGTTGAGAAACATCACAGCTCAAGTTATCTATCAGGTTGTGATTTTAGTGATCTTCCAATTCAAAGGACAGGTGATTTACGGCACGAATCGGAAACTCGGGAAAGCCATGATGTTCAATAGTTTTGTTCGTTTACAGGTTTTTCAATCAATTCAATTCCAGGGAGATAGAGAAGGTGAATGTGCTTAAAAACATTCATCAGAACTATTGGTTTTGGTTGGCTACAGTAGGTCTTCTGGCATTACAGCTTGCCTTGGTAGAAATTTCAGGCATCATCAAAGGTAATGCAAGGTTAGATTATGATAAATGGGGCATCTGTATTTTAACTGGGATGTTTCCTTGGGTGATTGATTGCTTGGCCAAGTGCATTGTCAAGTTTCAACATAGATTGGTCTAGATAAATAATCTTTGTTATTCAACATTTATATTTCTCAAGTTGTCTGAAATGCAAATGAGCCTTTGCGATCCCACCCCCCCCCCCCCCCCCCCCCAAACAAAAAAAACCTGAAATTGGAAATGTTTATGGTAAGAAAATCAAATTGAACATTAGTGGTAAGTAGAGGGATTGATATAGATAATGTCAACAAACTGAGATTTGAAATGTGAGAATATATTTTTTAATTCTTCTCTTAAACGACAGCGTTTCAGTCACTTAAAAATTTTGAAATTGCTTTCATGTAATTCCAAATAAAAATATATATCTGATAGTGAACAACTTTGTCTCAAGTATTTGTCAAAACGACTCAAAAAAAAAAAAAAAAAAGCCCAATGATTTTTTTTTAATGTTTCTTTTACCATATTTTTGGACAACTTTTTATGTATAGATTTTTTTTTCGATTTGAGTCATATATAGGCATGCATATCCACCTTTATATGAATAAGTTATAAATTAACTCCTTTATTTTTTAAAAAATAAATTAATCTGTCCTCTTATTTTAAAAACTAATTATTTAGTTTTTTTTTCATTTTATGGAAGTTCCATTTTCTAGATTATTTTTTTAAAAAAATAAAATAAAAAAATAAAAAAGATATTGTGTTAAGATTGATGAAATAATAAAAAAAAATTATAATATTAAATTAAACATGTTCAATACTGATTAAAAAATTAAATAACTAGTTTTTCAAACAAAGAGACTCATTAATTTGTTTCTAAAATTTTAAAAATTAATTTATAATTTACACACTTTTGTGTTGATCTTGGGCAATCTAATGATGGATCATGTACAGAATATTGTTTCATAAAAAATTCTTAAAAAAAAATTTGTCATTAATTAGTTTGAAACTTTGGAGGAAAAATAAATCTAAAGGAAAAATGAAAATTTTTAATGTACATCACATCAACACTTTAAGAAACTTTGAAGTGTGTGTTAATTTAAATTTTGCTGAAATAGACTTGCAAAAACATTTAAATATATAGTTAAAAATAAAAAAATTGTTAAAAAAGATTTTCAAACTAAACTACTAGAATTATTTACGTAAGTGGTACTTAACTAATTTTATTCTTAAAGCACCCTTATAAACTAATCAAATAAAAAAGCTTTTATATGCAAATCATGTGATTAATTTCGATAGATTAGCACAAAAATCTTCTTAGAAAAATAAATTGGACACTTAATGCATGTTTAAAAATAAAATTAATTCAATTAAGAATACAATATTGACATATTGGACAATTATCCTATTTAATAACATATTAAGCAATTAACCTTAAAGTAATTACTAATAAATATATAATCTTATCTACTATTACTACTTATCATTTTTTATCATTCTTTTTATCTCTCAATTGAGTTTTTTTTTTTTTCAAAAAAACCTCCATTAATCAATTTAGGTTAATAAATTATGCATACTCGTTCACCTGAGAAGATTACAACAAAGACATGCCAAAAATCCACTACAATGTGCCCTTTTCATTTCTTTATTCCTAATGCAAAAGGTAATGCAAACATATTATAATAAAAATTTTCCAATTGCACGCCTTATCTATAAAGTCTAGAAAATACTTTTTCTTCTCGATTCACCCCTCAAATTTCGAAACTCCAAAATAAATAAAAAATAATAATACAAGGTGGGACGCTTGATCGATGTTCAAAAAAGAAGCATCCAATCTATCACTAATTTTAGAATCTGCAGCTTTCAATTTTGCATGCCATTTCAAGCCAAGAAGTTGAAGACAAAAAAAGTAGATTGAAAGAGAGAGAATGTTGGTAACCTTTTCTTTGTCAATGCGTTATTGTTCAACCAAAGAATTACAAGCTCCCTATTGTATACATTTATTTACTCACTCGAGAGTTTATTTACGTGAAAAGAGTTTTAATACCTTAAATAAATAATTTTAAATTTAAGCTTTTATATATATAAAATTTTTTTGAATAATTATCTTCACCTCGTATATTCGATAAAATAATAAAGAATTAATTTGGATCGAGATACTTTAAAGTATCCAAAAAGAATTACAAGCTCCCTTGTCTTTGCCCCCCCCCCCCCCCCCCCCATTTCTTTCCTTCAACAAAGGGAAACATTCAAAAGAAAGGAGAAGTACTTACGAGAATCCAATTGATAAACATCCAAAATCCCATCAACAAAAGAGAGAGAGAGGCTCCATCATCTCCAAAGCTAAAAAGGGTTTTTAGGGACAAGCTGACAGAGTACCATACAACCTATTATTCCTCCAAACATACCCTTCCATTTGCTAATTTCAACATTCTTTTGGACTCTTCTTTTTGCCCTTTTCTACTTTACCTATACTTTTGCCTCTTCCCCTCATTTACAACTAACCAAGAAACTCCTCCTCTTAGATTGGATTCACAACCTTTTCTTTTTGGATTTTGCAACTTGGCTGCCGATTCTCATTCCTTTGCTAAATCATTTAGAATTTTATGGAAAAACTAAATGCATCTTATGTTGATTTATACATACTATAAATAAATATACACGTAATGCTTTTGAAGCCTCCTTCGACTTCATCACTTCCATTAATTCTCACTACACGTTTTTTTATCATCATAGCCACACACAAAAACCCTAAAAGAGCCAACCTTCTCAAATGGGCAATGAAAATAATGATCATATTGTCATTCAATCCTCTATTGTTCTATTGCAAGAGAGATTCAGGCAGTTGCAAAGAGTGAAAGCAATGAGAGAGGAAAAGGAGCAATCAAAAAATATACTTGTGGAGAGTAGTAGAAAGCAATTAAGTCCCACCATGCAATATCATGAGCCAGCAGCCAACAGGTTGTTCTTTCACTCTGAATTGATCCTTCAGCCAAGGTCACCACCACCCCATATATCTCTCTCTCTCTGGCCAAACCCACAGAGCAAGCCGGCCGGCTTCCAGTGTGAGGAGATCTCGTCAACCTTGATGAGTTCATCTCCTTCAAAAACTCCCTCTAAGCATGGTTTATTAGATAAATTTGATGATTCTGCAACTGATGATAGTGATATTGATACTTCTCTTCATTTGTAAACAATGTTCCCATAAACTTTTTTGGTAATGTAATATTAGAAGAGTTACTACTATATTATTATTACTAGCTTTGCTATATTTTTTTTGCCTTTATTAGCTTTGATGATCTCTCTTTGTGATAATTCTAAGGTTTTATCATGAAATTTAGCTAATTTAGTTCGTTTTCTAAATTGATCAATTTGTACCTATAGCAGTTCACAAAGTCTGAGAGTCGTAGCTTCGTCAATATTTTCTAACAAAAAATTAAAGGAATTTAGAGAAATATTCAAATAATTAAAAAAAGTTTTTTTTTCTTTTTTAATTCAACGATCACTGGTGCAACAAAAATAATTAAAAAAGCATCAAATTTGGAAATGGAAAACACAACGTACGTACGTAATCAACTACTATAAATTATTTTTAGCACTTTTTTTTTATTAAAATAGTTTTAAGCAATATTCACTTGGATATTTGGTTGCAACAGTACTTGCCCTTTTCAACCAAACGATTTTTCCTTCTTCTTCTTCCTTTTTTTTTTTTTAATTATTATTATGTTGGATAATATTCCCAAATGAGGATTAAGAAATAATAATAAACTAAAGCAACAATGATTTAGGCATTCAAAATTTTGTCTGATCTTGTTCGATAAAACCCATGTTGTCTACACGAAAGAAAGACCATTAAACTCCGGATTGATAGGGCACACCGGTCGTTGGAAGCCATGAATCTCCTTGTATCAATTCACTCACTGTATAAGGCCTAACATCCATGGAACTTTTAAGCACATGAAAACCAGGCCAGTCCACCCTATCTTCAGTACGTGCACCACCACCTGTGTTCCTATACGCTGTTTAAAAAAATGTCGAACGAGTTGAATCGTCTTCACCTTCTATCCACCCCTTTGGATCTATTATATCATCAAGTTCTGTCTCAAAAATTACTGTCCTTTAATTCTTCTTCCATGGCCTGCCTAAGAAAGTCCTAACCGATGACTTCCTAATAAAATCATGGGCTGGCCTGATCAGTGCCGGCTCAAGGCATAGGCCATTAAAGGCCTATGCCTTAGGCCTCATAGGAAGGAAGTACCTCAATTAAAATTTTATATTAAATCTACGTCTTAGAAGAATGAGATAAATTAAAACCTGTAGCCTCCATTTTTATTTACAGAAAAGTTTCAGAAAAATATTTATGAGTGAAACAATTTTTAGATCTCCAAATTTTGTTATTATATTCCTTTTTTTCTCCAAACAATTAGGGATCTCTTATAAAACATTTTCTAATTAGCTTGGTAGAAGAATTTGAAGGTAATTTTTTAATTTATGCAAATAAAATTATGTATATAAATCATATAATATTTTATTTTTTTCTCAAATTTCTTTTTATATTTCTCAGGTGATTCTCTCAAGGTTTACTTGATTAGGTGTGACAAGCAAATATAATCAAGTGCTAAAGTTTCTTACTCTTTTTATAATTATATTTTAATTTTATTATTTGAATAAAATGTCTATTAAAAAATATAAATCTGGATATGAAAAATGTAAGAAAAAAGAAAGATAGAAGAACTAATTCAATCCCAAAAAGATGCACTTAATAGATTTGTTATTAATATTAAACCCTAAATACTAGAAGAACAAGATAAAAATTTAAATAAAAACATAATTAAAAATTATCAAAAAAAATATTATTTTACCTAAAGTTACATATATTATAAAACCGGCCCTGACAGAGCCATATATTTGACAATCGCGATAAAATTGTGAATTTATGGGATACCACCAAGAGTGTTTCGGTAACCTTTGAAGCTACAACGATAGAAAACGGACTCGTCCGACCTCACCCTCACTTCAGCTGCCTGACCTTTCTCTGCACCCGCTGTGCTCTCAAATGTCATGTCCCTAGCCCAGAATCCATCAGCAGATACACCTACACAAATTTCAGACACAAGAACGGAACCCTTGAGATACACTAACAGATTTTGCTATCTTATAAAAAATGTTCAAGTTTTAATGATCTTACTGAAGGTAGCTGTCTTGAGTGAGTCAAGATCGTCATCTTCGACACTTCGGCTGCTAGTAACAATGGTTTCATCAATGCCATCACCCACAAACGTCAAGTTTTTCAACTGCTTCTTAATTTTCACTCTCTCCTCGTACACTCCTGCTTTCACGTAGATTATTACTCTTTGGTTTCTCCGATTATCGATTTCGATCCTCAACTGCAGCAAGGGCATCGTTGATTGTTTCGTGTGTACCAGAGCCATCCTTTGCTACTGTGAAGTCGGCCTCTGAAGTTGCTGGATTCCATCCATGATTTCAAGTCATCTCCATCACGCTTGCCCCTTTTCTTTTTATGATCCGCCTTCCTATTCAAAGTCAGGGCTTCAGTAGCTTGATCGAATTGGGTTTGGATGTTTTCTAATGTTTCCAATTCTTGGTCGCCGAAGGTAGTGGTGGCAGCTACGGCTAGGAAAAGGAAAATGGTGGTCGCGACACAAGTACTGGTTAACATATATATTTGCTTAATTTGAAGATCTAGTGATGATAATCCACAATTTGATTTTATATTTTTAATTAAATCAATTTTATATGCGAATATACTTTAAGTTTCAATCCATTCTTGTGATAAGATTATCAAACTAAACTATTAAAATTAATCATGCAGTTTTTACTTTTTTATTTGTCTGGCTTAATTATAAAAGTATTATAAGAATACAAAAATAATTATATGTAAATTACATGACTAATTTTAATGATTTAGTATGAAAATTTTACTAAAAGAATTGATTAAAAACTTAACAAATATATATAAAAAAATAAAAATAAATTAAAAAATTATATTATTATATAAAGACACATTAAATTATCAACCCTAAGTTAAGATCACTCATTAAAGAGAGAAGAATTTCCAAACATTACTGGTTTCGAATCGATTGTATATATTAATTGGCAAAGGCCTTTCTTCTTAGATCCCATTCTAACACAAAATTAAGTAAATTGTCTCTTCTCTAAAAAATTTCTAAACATAGAATTTGTATATATATAGTTCCTTTCTCTCTCTCTAAATAATGATTTTTAGTGAGAAAAGACGAGGGTGCAGAATTTTACTTGTCTTTTTTTAAAAAAAAAATTAGTCTAACAATTATGTATCTAGTTAATTTGTTTAATAAAATAAGATTCAAAGAATTCTAATAATTCTTTTATATATATATAATAAAATAAGATTCAAAAGAATTCTAATAATTCTTTTATATATATATATATATATATATAAAAGAATTATTAGAATTCTTTTGAATCTTATTTTATTATATATATATAAAAGAATTATTAGAATTCTTTGAATCTTATTTTATTAAACAAATTAACTGGATATATATATATATATATTATCTAACGAGGGGAGAGCTGCTTCCATTGTGTGGGTAAAAAAAATCATGAGCCTCTGATTAAAAAAAAAATTAATAAAGAAGCCAACGTCAACATTAATTCTCCAAATGAGGATTAAATAAGAAATAGTATGTTGAATATATATAAATATATATATAGGGATGATCAGGAAAAAAAAAAAAAAAAAACAACTATGGGAAGACAACCATTTCTTTCGATAGGATTCACCATCTCTTTCGATAGAAGAATCCTTAAAGTATGTTTATGAATTCTTTTTCTCAAATTGATTTAATGACACTTTCTATTAATTAATGGTTCAAATCATTAATTGATCCTCTATTATTGGAATCAATACCTAATAAAATAAATCACTATTTAGTCAAATGAGTTTTAACGGTTAATTAATGGATGAAATTTTACAAAATTTGACAAAAAAATATCTTCTTTTTTTTTTTAAAGTTCAGAAACCAATTTTTAAATGATTTAAAGTTTTAAAAAGAGATTTACCATTTTAGCCTTTTCAATTTGTTGAATGATGGGCAATTCACTATCCAACATTTTTTTAGAGAAGGAAACCAAATTTCCAAAATTTTATAGATGCATATATATAATATGAGTCCATTGAAAAAAGCTTATCATTCAAACTTATATACAACAATCTTTGTTCAACCGTATGATTGAATAGACTAATTAGAGCAAAATAATCCTTTGAAAAAATTAACAAATTAATTAATTTCATCTCAAATCACTTTGTACAAAAAGCCTAAGCACAAATAATATTAGCCACAGAAGTCCAAAGAGAAAAAAAACATAATAGATATATATGGCCTGGGCTTTACAAGGCCTGGACTTGTTGCACAGAGACAAGACCTGGGCTTTCACTTCGATATTGATTAAAAAAGTAGTCCAGGCCCAATCAAAAGAGCTAAAAGCCGAATCCATCAATGACAATCTTAAATTAGAATTGACTTCAATAGAATAACAAACAAAATCAATAATGAAAGAAAAGGAATAGATCTCATTTTGATGAGTAAATTACAAATTAGTTTCTCTATGTTGGAGTAACATTTTAACATTAATTATGATATTCATTGCACTTAATTACAAATATAAATGGAGACGAGAGGTAAAGAAGTTCATAACTTCTTTTAAACAAAATAAATTAAGGGGTTAATGATTCAATTTTTTTATATGATAGAGTAATTTTTAATTTTTCTTTACATTTTTAATGAAGTTAATTTTATTTTTGAATAGCTTTTAATTTGTTCTTATGATAAAAATTTTTAAGCTAAACCATCGAAATTAATCATGTAGTTTTCATCCTTTTATTTGTCTGGATTATAAGAGTATTATAAGAATAAAAATAATTATATACAAATCATTTGACTAATTTCTGCAATTTCAGCTAACTATCGAAATTAATCATGTACTTTTTGCCTTTCTATCTGTCTGACTTACAAGAACATTCTAAGAATAAAAAACAGTTATATGCATATTACGTGATTAATTTCAATGATTTGATCTGTAAATCTTATAAAAAAAAATTTAATTAGAAATTAATGAATATATAAAAATAAAATTGACTTAATTAAAAATATAAAGACATATTAAAAAATGTTATATTATATAAGAATAGATTAAATTATTAACCCTAATTTACTATCACTAAGTAACAAGGGAAGAATTTCTAGGCAACGCTGTATATTAATTGGCAAGGGCCTTTCTTCCTAGTTCCTATTCTAACGCAAAATTAAGTAAATTGTCTCTTCTCTAAAGAAAGTTCTCAACATAGAATTTTGTAGATCTCTTGTTTCTCTCTAAATTATGATTTCGAGTGAGAAAAGATGAGGGTGTAAAATTTTACTTATCTTTCTTCTAAATTAATGTAACGGGTAGTATACTCAGTTAACTGTTTTAGTGAAATAAAATTCGAGTTCTAATTTTTTTTTTTTTTTTTTTTGTGTGATTATACATGTGATGGGGGAGGGCTACTACCATTGTGTAGGTCAAAAAAACCCAAGAGCCTCTGATTAAAAAAAAACAAATTAAGAAACCAACGTCAACATTAATTAATTCTTGGTGATATTTCTAGTTTTTCTATCATGGAATCTGAAAAGGATATTGATTAAAATATCTACTAATTAACAAAAAATTCTCTAGCCAACTTCCGATTAAAAAAAAATTCTTGGTTAAAATGGAAAACTTTTGTTTCCCATTTAGCAAGACAATTTAATGAGTATATTATAAATTAGTCCTCCGTTTTTTAGAAATGAATTAATTAGTTTTTTCTTTCTTTCAAAAACTAACTATTTAGTTATTTGACCGGTGCTAACCACAAATAATTTAATATTAATTTATTTTTAAAAATGTTATTTGTAGAAATGAATTCTAACATTGTCCTTTTTAAAAACATCAACTTGTAGCATTTTCAAAACCATGATTTTAAGCTTATTGAATTTACAAAGCACAATTCTAAACACCTAAAAAAATATTTTTTTTAAGTCAAAACCATGATTTCACTGCCAATGCCAACAAGGCTTATTTTCAACTGGTCTGTGTTTCCCTCTATTTTCCTCATAAAAACAACTTAAAGCAGCCTAGCTCTAATATATATTTAAAATTAAAGGCATATCCCAATATGCTCCTCAAGTGATGGTGCTTTTTGATTCATGAAAATGTTCCAAAGTGTTTTTCAAAAAGTATTTGAACTTATTTTTCAGTATTTTCGAATAGTTTTTGTATAAAAATATCAAAATTATCGAAAATCATCTATTAGAGAATTCAATCTAAATACATTTTGGCAAAATTTATCATCGTGATTCTAATAATAACATTGACATTTTACCCAAAGGTTATGGACACTTAATGCTATATTATATGAGTTTTCCTTATATTTGGATCATGTGCTTTTTGATTTTTTTTTTAATTGATATCTTATATTTTTTTTAGTTTGATTGAGATTCTCTACTTTTCGAAATTTTTTATTTCAAACTTTTTCGTTATAACGCTATCAATCAATGATCGAAAAGCCATCTCAACTCTTTGAAATTTTTTATTTTATAATATCTTGATTAGAAAAAGTTTGAAGAGTACATATAGAATAATAGAGTCTCAATCAAGATTAGAGAAAAAATAAAAGGTTTCAATTCAAAAAATTTGAAGAGTGAGAAAAGTGAGAAAAGATGAGGGTGTAAAATTTTACTTATCTTTCTTCTAAATTAATGCAATGATAGTGTACTCAGTTAATTTTTTTAGTGAAATAAAATTCGAATTCTAATAACTATAAGTTTTTTTTTATTATTATTATATATAAGTTTTTTTTATTATTATATATGTGATGGGGGAGGGCTACTACCATTGTGTAGGTCAAAAAAACCCAAGAGCCTCTTATTAAAAAAAAAAAAATTAAGAAACCAACGTCAACATTAATTAATTCTTGGTGATATTTCTAGTTTTTCTATCATGGAATCTAATAAGGATATTGATTAAAATATCTACTAATTAACAAAAAATTCTCTAGCCAACTTCCGATTAAAAAAAAATTCTTGGTTAAAATGGAAAACTTTTGTTTCCCATTTAGCAAGACAATTTATGAGTATATTATAAATTAGTCCTCCGTTTTTTAGAAATGAATTAATTAGTTTTTTTTTTCAAAAATTAACTATTTAGTTATTTGACCAAGTGCTAACCACAATTATTTTAATATTAATTTATTTTTAAAAATATCAAAATTATCGAAAATCATCTATTAGAGAATTCAATCCAAATACATTTTGGCAAAATTTATCACCGTGCTTCTAATAATAACATTGACATTTTACCCAAAGGTTATGGACAATTCATGCTATATTATATAAGTTTTCCTTATATTTGGATCATGTGCTTTCTGATTTTTTTTTTTAGTTTGATTGAGATTCTCTAATTTTTGAAATTTTTTATTTCAAATTTTTTTTATTATAACGTCATCGATCAATGATCAATAAGCCATCTCAACTCTTTGAAATTTTTTATTTTATAATATCACACTTAGAAAAAAGTTTGAAGAGTACATATAGAATAATAGAGTCTCAAGCTCAGAGGAAAAAAAAAAGGTTTTAATTTAAAAAATTTGAAGAGTGCAAATAGAATCTAAATGTGGAGAAAGCCTTATATATATATATATATATATATATATATATATATATATATATATATATATACACACACACACTGAAAGAGTGGACAAGGAAATCAATTGATAGGGTGAAGACAGAAGGTGAAGACGATTCTACTCGTTCGACATTGTTTTATGCAGAGTATAGGAACACAGGTGGCGGTGCATGTACTGAAGATAGGGTGGATTGGCCTGGCTTTCATGTGCTTAAAAGTTCCAAGGAGGTTAGGCCTTATACAGTTAGTGAATTGATACAAGGAGATTCATGGCTTCCAACAAGTGGTGTGCCCTATCAATCCGTAGTTTAATAGCCTTTCTTTCGTCTAGACAACATGGTTTTTTTCGAACAAGATCAGACAAAATTTTGAATGCCCAAATTATTGTTGCTAGTTTATTACTAGTTTTTTTAACCGGTGCTATACTTCGAGTCAAAAAGAATATATAAAATTATTTTTAAAAAATTATTTCAGTTTAATTCCTCATATTATATTATATTTCTATCAAAATATATTAAATTAAAACTAATAAAAATTCAATCAATTTTTTAATTTTTCAATCAAAATTTTTTATTTGACTAGTTATTCTTTATATTTTTCATAAATTCTCAATTAAAAAATATTATTTATTTATCTATATCCAAATTCTTAACTAAAAAAATTTATAATAATGTAAGAAAAAATTTCAAAATCAATAGATTCTTAGCTCAAAATTTATTTTGTAAAATGTTTTTTTTCTCAATATTTTTTTGCCTTAAAATTTTAAAATAAAGATCAAAGTGACTAAAATAAAACAAAAAAAAAAGAGACCAAAATAAAACAAAAAAATTTACGAAAAAAACATTGTTTAAAAAAAAAGGATCAAAATGTAATGTCAGAAAAACTTTAATAATAAAGATCTTTACAAATTTTGAAAACTATATAAATGTCACTGCATGAAAAAGAATAGTACACATGTTTTTTGATGAAGGGTGCAAATAAGTTTAGATAAACAATGTTTCCAATAGTGTCAATGAATAGTAAACAATAATTTTATTTTAGTTTTTTTTAATTATTTTATAAAATATTATATTTCTCATCAATAATCATATTATTTACTTATTTTTTTTCTATTTCTTATAACAAAAAAATCAAAAAAAAAATTGAAAAAAAAAATAAGTTACAAGAATTTCAAAATACAAAAACTAAATAATTAGTTTTTAAAGAAAAAAAAAGGACCAATTGATTTATTTCTTAAAACTAGGGAGACTAATTTATAATTTAATCATCAAAATTAGATCCATTCCTTTTCTTTTGTTATTGATTTTTTTTTCTTTTTTGTTATTCTATTTCAAATCAATTCTCATTTAAGATTGTTATTGATGGGTTCGGTTTTTACCTCTTCTGATCCGGCCTTTGTTTCATCGATATGGTAATTCAAAGTCCAGGCCTTGACAGTTGACACGACATCATCACTCTAAGCAAGAATGAAAGCATTTGTCTAATCCACTCAGATTATTTAATAGTTGCAATTGTCTTTTTATTTTTATTTTCATTTTTATTGTATCTCATTACCCTTTTTTTTTTTTTTTTTTTTTTGGTCTTGTGTTCACCCCTTTATATTTGGTTTTGTTAGAAAAAAATCACTTGTCTGAACCCAAAATTACAAAGCACAAGTCTCAATTACTTTTCCTTTGTGTACAATTAAAATTAGAATCAACCAATCAATAATAATTAATGTGAAATAAATAATGATTTTGAAAAGACAAGTTTTTAATTAAGAATATAAAAAAAGCTAAATGCACAATTTTTGAAAAAAATAATTTTCTCATCAACATTAAATAAGAATAAAAATTTATTTTTTATTAGTTGATTTTTATATAAAACTATACATTAATTATAACTGTATTTTTTTAATATATTCTTATGAAAATATATATTTCAAAGTTTTTTTAAATTTTTTATTAATATTTTAGTTTAAATTATTATAAATTTTTATTTAAGAATCAATATATATAGAAGAATAAATTATTTTTTAATTAAAAAATTTGTGGAAATATAAAAAAATTATAAAATATTGAAACGATTTTTTTCGGTCGGTAGCACATCAATGGACTGTATATACCAAAAGAGAGGAAAAGGAAAGGTAATCATCTTTGGACTCATTATCTTTATTTTTTGTTCGAGCGAAGAAAAACATGAGTAAATAAAATGTTATAAAAATAAAATAAAAAAATTTTGTTCAATTTTCACGTGCTCATTAAGTGATTCCATCTAAAATGTCAAAATAAACTTCTATTTATTCTAAGTGACAATTTTTAGTGTGCATGGTAAATTTTTTCTATTTATAATCTAGCATATTAAGTTAAATTATTATCTCAAAACCTTACTAGTTTCAATTCTCACTCAACAACAATAACATCACCTTTTTCATTGCTGATATTATAATTAAATGAAAATCAAGATTTAAATAAATTTAACTCTCTTTCTTAATTTTTTTTATATCAAAATCTTCACCATTTTCATTCGGATGATCTATCTTCATCAAAGTTGTTTAACGGTTTGATGATAATATTGAAACTTTCGAAAAATAGAAGCATACTATTGAAAAATTTTAAACTGAAAATTTGTACTTATAAAATGTCGTTTGCTTATCAAGAATTAAAGGCTCGGAATGAGAATACGAAATAAGAATGAAAATTAGAAAGTTGGAATAACATTTGCATTTTTTAAATATTAATAAGAAATTGGAATGAAATTTAAAATTTTTAATATCCGATTTTTAATATGAATAAAAATAATGATTTAAAAAATAATTTCATCAACTATAATGGTAGTAAAAATAATAGTGGTGATGGTTTTGGTGGTGGTAGAAATAATTAATACACAATAAATAAAAATAATATATTATTATTTTTAAAAAAAATTCTCATTTCTCATTTTTATTTTCATCTTTTACATAAAAATAAAATTATGTGTAGTTTTTATTTTTATTTTCATTCTTTATCTCTTTTTTTTTTCAATCTAACAGTTATAAAATTAAAATAAAACTTTTATTTTTATTCTTATCATTATTCTATTCATAGAAACCAAAATACACATGAGAGCATTAGTCAATAGTCAGCTAATCTTGTTTTCTCTCATGGTTTGCTGTTGTTCTCACTCACGAGGTTTCCTTTCGATTGAGGTTTTCTTTCATGGTTTGATGTTGGGTCCCTTCGATTGATTGCAATCCTTGTCATGACGTCTTTCTCTATGATTTAATAGGCTGGATTTCCTCCATTCATGCTTCTTTTTGTTCCTTTAATCTACGTACTTTCTCCCTATGGTTTGCTTTCTCTTTTAATGGAGGAAAACAAAGCAAAATCTGACAATTAAAGCAGCTGACACAGAGTGATTCTGCAAGTGAGTTTACTTTACCAGAATTAATCCTCTTTTGTGCCTTGAAGCATTATCGTCCTTGCACACGGCTTCTCATCTTTTGATACATTTTCATGTTACGGGACCGTGTACATCCATTCTCTCATCTTTACGCGTTAACTCATCAAAAATTCCACCGAAGAGCAAAGCACAAGAAACGAGTAAATTATAAATTGATTTAATAATAAATTTGACCTCTGTTCTATTAAAATTTTATAATTTCAAACTTATAGTATTAAATTATATCTCTTGAATCTCAAAATGTTACGAATTTGATAAATACAAACCAAATTATCCAATCTCTATTATGTGCAACGATTAATTAGGTTGATCGTTATTTGAAAAATAAAAACGACGTCGTTTTAACATCCACTATTAATTATATTATTTTTACTCTCATTATCTCGAACTTTTTTTATAAAATATTGTAAATATTTAGTAAATTGTATATAAAAATTTCTTATAAATTTTTTTAACCCTCTAATTTTGAATTCTTTTTAAAAAAAATTTTCTATAAAATGTTATTGTAAAAAAAAAAAAATTAACAATACACAATTGTAAGTCTTAAAAACAACATTTTATAAATTAAATTGAGTATAATTAAGTGTTGACCCTCTAATTTTATAAATTATAAAAACATATTTTTTTTATAAAATCCAAGTCTAGTCCTACATGTAATTTATAGTTCCATTTCTAGGAAAATAATGTAACTCTAGTCCTACATCTAATCGAGGAGGATACTGTAAAATGCATCCTTCGCTGTCATGCCTCAGGCTGTTTTCATTTTCATGAGGTGGTTTTGTATGGAAAATCATTTTGTATATAAATACCTTCTATTTAATCGTAGCTTATTGCTTTTATAGCTAGTCTTCTTACAATCTCTTTTCAAACTAATTCCTTAACTACTTAGTTTCGTTCTTAATCTTTTTTAATCATTAGAACTTTTGAACTAATTTTCAGATCTGGAAGTTAAGTTCTGACGAAAACAATTGCATCTACTGCTCAGTAATTAATTGAGGTTTACTGAGTTTCATGCATGCACTAAGTTTGTAAGAACAAAATCTACCCATCTGAGTTTCATTCTCAAAGAATTTTAACAACTAACTAGCATTTAGGAAGCTCAAGGGACAACGGCCAGAAAATTAAGAACTAATATAACCTTTTAAAGAAAAATTTAAGCTAAAACAGAACCTGAGTTGTGCATTGAAAGGCATTAACAGTAACATTAAAACGAGGAATTAGTGACATGATTTCAGATAATCCTAACAACAAAATTGTCTATTATTTATGATCTATGACCATGTATGTGTGCTTTAAGATACAGAAAGATGCATATGGACATGGAGAGAGAGAGAGAGAGAGAGAGAGTAAATGCTGACCTTAGATTCCATGGATGCATGACCTGGATTTTACGAACACGGTTGGAGCAGAACTTGAGGAGTCAGATAGAATGAGGCCGTTGACGTTGACTTCCTTAGTTTCCAATTAAAGAAGACCGGGCTTCGTATATTTAACTTTTTAGCTTGACCTATTATTAAAAAAAAAACAAAGGTTTGGGATGAGTTAGTATCTACCCGGTTTAATGTATTACATGTCCCTCTATTTTTTTTTTTTAATATAACCTCTGTACTTTTTATTTTTTATTCAATCCCTTCTTTCATTTTTTTTTATTATTTTTTTTAATGTAACACTTACGTTTGTTTTTCAATGAATTTTTCAATCAAAACTGACAATGGACGTAAAATAATTTACACAGCATGAAACGTCATATTGTTTTGCTGCGTAGGAAAAAAAAATATTTTATGTTTTCTCTTCTCTTTTCCTCTCCATTCTCTCTCTTTCTCCCTCCTCTTTGTTTCGATTCACCATGCGTCTAAACTCAAAAATATGATAAACATCTGATCAAATTAAAA